TTTGCTTCCAGGAATGATTTAGGAAGGATTGCTTCCCTTTCAATTTCATTGAAGAGTTTGAGGAGTGTTGGCATCAGGTCTTCTTTGTATTTCTTGTAGAATTCTGCAGTGAATCCATCTGGGCCTGGGCTCTTCTTGGTGGGTAAGGACTTAATTACATTTTCAATTTCATTAACAGAGATTGGGTTATTCAACAGTTTTACATCCTCTTGATCTAGCTTTGGTACTTCATATGTTTCTAAGAATTTGTCCATTTTTTCTGTTATCAAACTTTTGAGAGTAGAGGTTTTCGAAATAGGTGTTAATGATCTTCTGTATTTCTATTTGGTCTGTAGTGATTTCACCTTTTTCATTTCTTATTGCATGAATTTGAGCTTTTTCTTCCCTTTTTAAAATAAGGTTGGCTAGGGGCTAATCAATTTTATTTATTCTTTCAAAGAACCAACTCTTTGATTCGTTGATTCTTTGGATTGTTTTCTTAGTCTCCATTGCATTGATTTCTGCTCTGATTTTTATAATTTCCTCTCTTCTTTTGGCTTTGGGCTTGATTTGCTCTTCTTTTTCTAGCTGTTTGAGGTGTAGCATCAAGTTATTTATTTGTATTCGTTCTGTTTTCCTGATGTGGGAACTCAGTGCAATAAATTTTCCTCTCAGGACGGCTTTCATGCATCCCACAAATTCTAATAAGTTGTATCTGCATTTTAGTTTTCTTTTAGGTATTGTTTAATTTCTTCTTTAATTTCTTCTGTGACCCACTGATTACTCAAGAGTGTGTTATTTAGTTTCCATGTGTTTGCGGGATTTTTGCAGTATCTTTTATCATTTATTTCTAATTTCAGAGTGATATGATCCGATAACATGCAAGGGATGATTTCAACTCTTTTGCATTCGTTTAAATATGTTCTGTCTGCTAATATATGGTCTATTTTAGAGAATGAACCATATACTGCTGAGAAGATTGTGTATTCTGATGTTGTTGGGTTCAACATTCTGTATATGTCTATCAAATCTATTTGTTCGCAAGTGTGATTCAGTTCTGTTATTTCTTTGCTCATTTTCTGTCTAGTTGATCTGTCCCTTGGTGTCAATGGCGTATTAAGGTCTCTTGTTACAATTGTGTTACTGATAATTTGAGTTTTCATTTCTGTTAATAGTTGTTCTATATAACTGGGTGCTCTGGAGTTTGGTGCATATATATTTAAGATAGTTATCTCTTCCTCTTGGAGTTTTCTGCTTATGAGTATGTAGTAACCTTCTTTGTCCTTTATGGTCATTGTTGGTTTAAAGTTCACGTTGTCTGCCAACAGAATGGCTACTCCTGCCTTTTTTTTTTTTTGAATTCCTGCTGCATGAAGTATTGTTTTCCAGCCTTTGACTTTCAGTCTGTGAGTATCCTTCTGGGTTAGATGGGTTTCCTGTAAACAGCATATGGTTGGATTTTGTTTCTTGATCCATTCTGCTAGTCTGTTTCTTTTGATTGGTGCATTGAGACCATTTACATTAATGGTTATTACTGTTAAATGCTGGCTAATTGTAGGAATCTTATCTCTCTGCTGTTGCATCTTTATCTTTCTGTTCTGTTTAATTATTTGCTTTGCTTAGTGGTTTTTTCCTTTGTGTATCTAAACTGTCTTTCAATATTTTTTGTAGGGTTGGTTTGGTGTTCATGAAGTTCTTCAGCTGTTCTTTGTCATGGAAGTATTGTATTTCACCATCAATTTTGAATGATAGTTTTGTAGGATACATCAATCTAAGTTGGAAATCATTTTGCTTTAGGATCTGGAATACTTCACTCCATGCTCTTCTTGACTTTATTGTTTGTGCTGAGAAGTCTGCTGTGATTCTGATAGGTATTCCTTTATAAGTGATCTGTCTTTTCTCTCTGACAGCTTTTATTAATCTATTCTTGTTTGGATTTCTGGGATGGTGATTATTACATGTCTGGGTGTAGTTTTATTTTGGTTATGAGTATTTGGAGTTCTATATGCTTCACTAATCCTGATGTCGGTTTCTGATCTCATGCTTGGGAAATTTTCAGCTATTACTTCTCTAAATATCCTCTTGACATCCTTTATGTTGTCTCCTTCTTTTTCATTAATCCCTATCATTCTTATGTTATTTTTTTTGCATCACCTTGCAGTTGTTGAATTGCCGTTTCCTAATTCCTTGTGTTTTTTTTTGTTGGTTTTTTTTTTTTTTTTTGTCTTTTTCCTTTTTATCAGTACCAGGGATCAAACTCACGACCGCCTGCTTGCAAGGCAGGTGCTTATGCCGCTGAGCTAAATCCCCAGCCCCAATTCCTTGTTATTTTTAAAAGATCTTTCCTTTCCTGTTCACTGGCTTCAATCCTGTCTTCAAGGTCTGAAATTCTATCTTCACTTTCATTAAGGCGGTTTTTACAACTTTTCAGTGGAGTTTTTTGTTTCCGTATATGTCTGTGCATCTGCATTATGTATTCTGTTTGTTTCTTATATTGCTCATCTAGGGATTCTGTCTTTTTGTTTAGTTCCTCCAATTTTTTATCTGTGTTTTCTTTAGATATATTCAGAATCTCATTTCTTTTATCATTTAATCTTTTACCTAATTTATCTTTAATCGAGTTTGAATTTCTTTAAAGCTTCCTGGAGTTGCTTGTTAATTTCAGTCGCTATTGTGTCCGATATTTGAGGTGAATGGCATATATTTTCTTCTACATACATTGCTCCTAGGGTTTCTTGAGATAGGCTGGAGGTTTGAAGTTGTAACTTGGTCTTTCATTTTGTCATTTTCCTGTATTTCTGTGTTTCAAGTGTTATTTGAAAGCTTCCTCAGGGTCTGTTGGAAATCCCCTTCTATGTTTGCAGCTCCTGAGACTCTGGCACCCTATTACCCCAAGCCACTGGGCCTGCAGAACCAATGGCCCTCCTCTGCCTGTTCAGAACTCTGCAGTTCCAGATAAGCTCGGCCTCAGGGACACTGTGCGCCCACCTGCCCATTGGAAGCTCCACAGCTCTCTAAGTGCAGCTGGGATGCAGAGACAGATGTGGACGCGTCAAACCCACGTCTCCACTTCACTGCACCCGCAAGCCTGGAGGGACCCGCACAGTCTGGGCTTTGGGCAGAGTGCACTGAGCACTCACCACAGGCTGCAAGGTCTCTGGAACCTGCGATGCTCCACTGCCCGCTGAGACATTCACAGTCCTCCAGACACAGGGGGAGGCTGATGCAGGTGCCTGAGATCCGCCCAGACCCTCCTCTGCACACCGATGGCGAGGTGCAGGAGTCCCAAACAGGCTGGGCTCCAGGGCTCCGGGGATAGTGTGGGCCCGGCCACCTGTTGGAAGCTCCACTGTTCTCCAAGTGCAGCCGGGATGGGGAGGCAGATGTAGACACCTCAAACCCACTTCTCCACTTCACTGCACCCGGAAGCCTGGGGGGTCCCGAACAATCTGGGCTTTGGGCAGAGTGCACTGAGTACTCACCGGAGGCTGCGGTGCCTCTGAACCTGCGATCCTCCCCTGCTTGCTGAGATATCCACAGTCCTCGAGAGACACAGGGAGGCTGATACAGGCACCCCAGATCCACCCAGCACACCCAATTGTGTACATTCTTAGTGAGAAAGTGAAGTAGTGCTATTTTTCTGTCTGTCACTTTCCTATTGTTTGGCTTTCATTTGCTTTTTGTGTGTATACTGAGTTTTGCATGTAGGAGAAACGATGTCACATTTTAGCTGAAATATGTCACTTACCATTATAGTCTCAGAGTGCATCTATTTTTCTATGGGAGCCTCAAAATAGTGGATTTTTATGTGAAAATATTTAGTGAAATCTATCTCTTCCAACTTTTCCATTCCCAGTGTAGACTCCTTAAAAATGACAATGCAAGCCTCAAGCACGTACTTGTACAGGTATTTCCTGAAAACAGTTTTTAGAGTAGCTCAAAATTGAAAGAATCCCTATGTCCATAGGTAAATGGCTAAAAACAGTTGCACATATTCATCCAGTGGAGTGTTAGTCACAAAGAAAAATAGTGCACTGATACACATTACAATGCATCGAATGTGGAAAATTCTATGCAGGTGAAAGTAGGCAGCCGAAAATGTCATACACCCTGTAGTGCCCTAAATGTGATGTAAGCAGAGCAGATGAATCCATAGAGAACAGGCAGAATAGTAACTGTCAAAGGCAGAGATGAATGTGGGGAAGCAGAGCTGACTGCTCATGGTGCCCTGAGTGTACTGGCTGCCGCTCTGGAGCTACAAGCAAGTGAGAGTGTCACAGGCCTGATGTATACTGGAAGTTCCTGAATGTGTGCTATAGAGGGGTTGTCTCAGCTAATCATGGCTTGAACTTCAGTTAAAGCAACTAATCAGTAAAAGTGGTCATGCAATGAAATAAGACAGCGTCAAGTCACACAGTCAAAAACTGGCCTTGTTTAAGTTCCATAATTTGTAGACATGTGATGGTGAAACATGTACCTCATTAGTCTAAAACATCTTTGAAATTGCTGAGCAAGTAGGTACAGAAAATATGGCTCTTGAAAAAGCAAACAGGAAAAATATTGAAAACAGTTTAAATGAATTAAAAATGCAAACTGAGTATAGAACTATGCTAAAGGCATTATTCGAACTAAACTTTGAAGATGAAGATATCCTTTACATCTTTGTTACTGCTAAAATTATGGCTCTATGGGTAATATCCTTGTGAGAGCAGATCAAGATTAGAAACTCACCATTTTCTGTTGGAAGTTCACTTGCAAAACAATTGAAGAATTTTGCTGAAATCAGCAAAGTAATTTAAAAGGCAATCAAAAATGATCAAAAAATAGATGTGAGGAAATGTTAAGTTTTACAGAAGAACAGAAAGATAAATAGATAGAATATTTAAAGATTTGTTATTATATGGATAAAAATACAAATTGATACATCTATAAATCAGTAATGAAAAGAATAAAGATAAGAATGTAATCACACATAGCTATAGGAAGACTGAATTTATTCAAACAATGTTATCAAAACTCACCATTCATCCTTCTGAGTTGATCTGCAGAAATAAATACATGCAAACCTCAAACATATACAAAATGATTCTAAATTTACTGATATTTTTCGTATTCTCCTCTGTACCAGTCTTTAAGAAAAGGCTTTAAAGGGCATGATATTTACCATCTACCATGCTCAGAAACTAAATTACTAAGCACGTGTGGAAGAGTACCATTAGATTAGAGGAAGAACACATGTCTTGTTAATTTTAACAGTTTCTTGTTCCGTAGTTAAAAATTTATGCAAAGGGAATCTGACATCAATTTTCCATTTTACTTATTAAATTTGGCTGCAAGCCTGAAGCAACAGTGACAACATCGATATGTCTGTGGGATTAGAGTGTGAACCAGACACATCCACTAATATTTCTGCTTCTTCTGTTTTTGGTACATGAATCTTGTCAATAGCCACTATTATCAAGTGATGCTTTTATATAACAAGTATTATGGCTCTATAGCACTTGTGTATCTCCAAGCTTTATTGAAAAATAGCCTTTTATCTTCCTTTATCAACATCTCTGTCAAGAGCTGAGTTGGTAATGCATTAATATTTAGACATAAATTCCCTTCAAGAGAATTTCACACCCTCAGTCTCTAGTGGTGGCTTGATAAACATTAAGCTTCACTGTAGAATGATAAGCTATAATCACAGACATTATTTTGAAGCACATCTAAGAAGCAACCTGTGAAAGATTATAAGGGCAAGTCAATTATTAAAAAGAAGTATTAGTGAGGCGTGTTTTGTGTGCTATGCAGCTTCCTGAGTAGTAAGGTTATACACCAGTGAAGTCCTGTGAGAAAACTGATGTCAATGTCTGTGATTGGTCCCATGACTAAACTCCATGGTAGAGACTACCACCCGACTGAAGTTTACACAGATGAGTGTACAACATACCATGAGTTTCTGTGGGAGAATTTATTTCCTCTTTCCTGATATGGTCCTCAATGTTTCTCTGCTATGTGCTGATACCTCATTAAGTTACACTCTCATCTAATTTTTCAGGTTCTTTTCTACTTATGTCCACTCACTCTCATTGTCTTTGTGACCATCTTCAAAATGAAATCCTCTCATCAGAAAAATTTAAAAGGAGTAAATTTAAAAATTTTTGCTAATCATTTTGATTAATGTACTGCAATTTTTTCTAAATATTTCAATTGATTTTCTCATAGTTTATTTAAATATACACTAGTGGAGATATATAAGGTGTGTTTATTGTTTAACTTTACAGGGAAAACTTTTTACTAGGTCAAAAGTACTTTGTGTAAAGGAACATTCTTGCACTACTATGTTGCAATTTACAAGTAGTTAAAGTCCTCTGAAAATGTCATTTCAGAGAAATATTCCTGTCTAGAAAAAAATCTCCATTGTATAAATGAGCCTCTCATTCATATTTTTAGTATTATACTTCATTGAAAGTATTTAGTCAAACTGAAGCCAAAGTAGATCAAATATATTGCTGAAAAAATTTCAGTGCATAAGTATCTGCACATTATATAATGTGATATTTTTGATGCCCATTGATTTTGGAGTGGGCATTGACAAACGAAAATGAGGCAAAGCAGTAAAAGACAAATTGATAAATTTAATGTAATAAAATTTGGCAAAGTATGTAGATGACAAAGTACACTTTCAACTTAATGACAATAAAATAACAATTCATTTTAAAAAACAAAATAGGTATGTACGATATATGTTTCTGCCAAGAAGAGGGAAAATAGAGACAGGGCCATGGAATAGTGCACAGTGTCTCTTGTAAGCTTGCAGATGCAAATTGAAGCACTAATACAGTCTCAAAGGCACTAAGAAGTCTCTGATTGACAAAGACACACATGTAAAAGTTTTATAAGAATGTAAACAGTTTCATATTTTGTGCTTGCTTACTGTGAAAGTGAAAAAGTGCTTTTTTCGTATCTCTTTTTTTCTGATTGTCTTTCATTTTGAAATATATATAAATTTTAAGATTCTTATATGAGAGATTTCATGTGATAATTTAGCTTCTGAGGCTAAGTTTACTTCACTTGACAGTTTGGTCTCAAGGTGCATCTACTTGTCTTCAAATGACTCAAATATAGAGGCATTTCAACAGGATACATTTCAGCACATATCCAAAAAGAATCACAGTGAACCAGAAATTTCATTCCCAGTCATATGTTTCTTCAAATTTGAAAGCAGGTGCTCAAATATGCACTTGTGTGGGAGGGTCGACACGGGTCACAAACTGGTGAAACCCCAGTGTCCATCATGAGGTGAACAGAGGAAGGCTTTCACATAAGTTATTTACTGGTATTCAGACTCAGATGTATTTGTTGAATGGTACTTTAAAATAACAAGACTGTATGTACTGATGTGTGTTACAACTAGGTGAATTTGGAAAATTGTGTAAACATGACAGAATGCTGACTCAAATGCTCACAGACTGACAGAGTAATGAGGAAACCAGAGTAAGTAAATTCACAGAGACAGAGAGTCAAACAGGGGTTATCAGAGGAACCCCAAGTATCTTCTCATGGGCTGGAGTCAGTTTTGCATGCTTACTGTCTGGGAGCTATTTGAAGGGCTGCACAGCATTGCAAATGCACAAAGTGTCACTGGACTATACACTTGACAAGAGTATTTTCGTTGTGGACAGATTTTACCTCAATAAACATTCTAGTCAATAGACGCGATCTAAAACTGAAATGAGTGATACTTCAATGAAATGGAGAACAGGTTTGTGTAAATTATTTCATTTTTATCGATTTCAAAATAGAAGTGTCTTTTTTTAAAAAAATCCCTTTCATTTTTTTTAAACAAGAGATTAGAGAAAAACTTCGCAATTGAAAGCAAACAGGAAAAATCTTCAATACATATGAAATTTAAGCCAAATGCTAAGTTAGTAGAAAAGGTGCACTAGAAACAACGTTTATTTAATCTATGACCTATAAAAATGAAGATACGTTTTGCTCCTTTGGTATTGCTTACAACTTGGTAATATTATTAAACAAATGGATCAAGAGTTATAACTCACCAATAAAAGTTTCACGTGTTTCTGCAAAACAAATGAGGAATATAGATGGAATCAGTGAAATAATGTATAAGTGCAATCACCATTGATTAAATATTAGAAGTCTTTACAAAATGTAAGTTAACTGATGGGGTAGAACTTAGAGATAGAGAGTGAGTTAGTGATAGAAATAGTGGGATTAACGGAGAGCAAATATATAAAAATCACAAATAGATCCTTTTAGAAAGGAGCAAGGAGGCATGGAAAATTAGGAATTGTTTACACATAACTGTGGCATGATTCTATTTTGTACATAAAATGTTTTTAAAATTCACCCTTCTCTGTTCTGACTTGATCTGAAAATTCAGCTGACTGCTTATGGTTTTAAAACCATGGCAATCACACACTCAAATAGAAACAAAATGATTCTAACATATCTAATATTCTTTGAATGCTACAGTGTACCAAGTCCCATGATAATGGCTGTGAAAGAGCACCGTGTTTAACATCTGCAGTGCTCAGCAGATAATTAGTAGCTATGCCTGGAACAGTAACATGAGATTAGAGGCAGGACACTTTTCTTGTTGTATTTTAGAGCTTCTTGCTCTGTATTTAGTAGTTTATGCAAAGTGAGTGTTTCACCCAATTGCAACTGTATTTATTTCTTTTTGGAGCGGACCCTGAAGGCAATGTGACAGGGTTAGGGAGATGCAGATTATGGCCGTGGCTATACACAACTCACACACACTAATGGGGTTTGATAAACAAAAAAATGGGGACGATGTGTTGCAAACAGTGTACAGAAAATTAAATTGTGTACATTCTCAGTGGGAAAGTGAAGTATTGCTATTTTCTCTGTCTGTCTCTTTCCTATCATTTACCTTTCTTTTGATTTTATGTGTACATTGAGTTTCACAAGAAGGAGAATCCAATTGACATTTTAGCTGAATTTTGTCACAATTAAAGTCTCAGGGTACATCTAATTTTCTATAGGATTCTCAAATTAGTGGATAATTATGGGAAAATTTTAGAGAAATTGATATGCTCCAACATTTCTGTTCACATTGTAGACTCCTTAAAAATGACAAAGCAAGCCTTAAGCATGTACTTGTACAGGTATGTCGATGAAGACAGTATTTACAGTAGCCCAAAATGGGAAGAATCCCTAAGTCCCTAGAAAAATGGTTAAAAACCATTGCACATACTCATCCAGTGGAGTATTAGTCATAAAGAAAAATAGCGTACATTACATACATTGAACTTGTCAAATGTGGAAATTTCTATACAGGTGAAAGTAGGTAGCCACAAAATGTCACATACCCTGTAGTGTCCTAAATTTGAGATAAGCAGAGCAGTTTAATACAAAGAGAAAAAAGAGAATACTGACAGTCAATGGCTGAGTTGAATGTGGGAAGCAGGGCTGACTTCTTATGGAGCCCTGCGTGCACCAACTGCCTCCTGGGGAGCTACAAGCAGGAGAGAGTAGCACAGCCCTTCTGTGTAATGGAAGTTACAGAATGTGTGCTGTAGAGCGGTTGTCTCAGCTCAGCATGACTTTTACTTCAATTAAAGCAACTAATCGGTACAATCCATCATGAAATGAAATAATGCAATGTCATCTCAGCCAACAACTGGCCTTGATTAAGTTCCATAATTTGTAGACAGGTCATCGTGAAATAACTACCTCCTTATGTTTAAATATCTTTTATTTTGCTGAACAAGAAGTTACAGAAAATCTTGGCAGTTGAAAAAGGGAAGAGTAATAATTTTGAAATGAAATTACATGAAAGAAAAATGCAAACAGAGTAGTAGAAATGTGCTAGAGGCAAAGCTTTATTTATTCTAAACCTTGAAAATCAAAATATCCTTTGCGTCTTTTTTACTGCTAAAAATGTGGGTTTATCAGTAATTTCCTTGTGAGAGCAGATCAAGATTGGAAATGCGCCATTTTCTGTTCTAAGTTCACTTGCAAACAAATGAAGAATATTGCTGAAATCAGTGAATCAATTTAAAATGCAATCAAAAATGATCAAATAATAGATGTGGGGAAAAGTGAATTAACTTTTAGAAAAGAACAGAAAGATAGATAGATAGAATATTCAAGGGATTTTGTTATTCAAATAGATAAAAAATAAAAATTGATACTTCTGTGAAGAAGTAACGAAACGTAAAAAGATAAGATACTATTCGTACATAACTGTAGGAAGATTCTATTTTGTTCACAAAATGTTATTAAAACTCACCAGGCTTTTTCCTGAGAAGATCTCACAAAATAAAAACATACAGAAATCAAAGTCAAACATAAATAAATGATTCTAAATCATTTCTAAACATAAATAAATGATTCATTGATATTTTTTGAAATCTCCTCTGTACCAGGCTTTATGAAAATGCTTTAAAGGACATCATTTTTCAATCTAACATGCTAAGAAACTAAATTAGTAAAACATATGGAAGAGTGAAAATAGATTACAGGAAGGACACACGTCTTGGTAATTTTAACAGTTTCTTGTTCCTGAGTTAATAATTTATGGAAAGGGAGTCTGACATCAATTTGTCATTATATTTATTTATTTTTTCTGGTGACATCGATATGTGTGTGGGAGCATAGTGTGAACCAGACACATCCACTAATATTTCTGTTTCCTCTGTTTGTGGAAGATGAATCTTGTCATCATCTACTATTGTCAAGTGATGATTTTATATAACAAAATATCATGTTGCTATAGCATCTGCATAACTCTGAGCTTTCTTGAAAAATAGCCTTTCATCTTTCATGATGAACATATCTTTTCAAAGCTGAGTTGTTGATGCATTAATATTTAGATGTATGTTACCTTCAAGAGAATTTGACACCTTCATTCTGCAGTTGTGGCTGGTTAAACATTAAGGTTCAATGTTGGATAATTAGCTATAATGACAGGCATTATTTTGAAGCAAATTTAAGTAGTAGCCTGTGAAGATTTTCAGAGCAAGTGAATCATTAAAAAGAAGCATTAGTGAGCTGTGATTTGTGTGCTATTCAGCTTCCTGAGTAGTAAGGTTACACACCAGTAAAGTTCTGTGAGAAAACTCATGCCACTGGCTGTGATTGGCCCCATGACTAAACTCCACTGGACACAGTAACACCCCATCGCCTTTTACACAAATAAGTGCAGAACGTGTCATGGCTTTTTATGGTAGAACTTATTTCCTCTTTCCTTTTGTAGTCCTCCAAAGTTTCTCTGCTGCATACTGATACCTCATTTACTTACTGTCTCCTCTAATTTTTCAAATCCTGTTCTGCAAATCTTCACTCACTCTCACTCTCTTTGTTTATTGTCATCTTCAAAATGGAACTCTCATATTATCAGATGAATTTAAAAAGTAAAATTAAATTTCTGTTTGCTAGATATTTTCATTAATGTACTGCAATGTGTTCTAAATACTTCATTTTCTCATAGTTGATTTAAATATATACTAGTGGAGATAATATGAGGCATGTTCATTTTTTAATTTTCCAGAGAAAACTTTTACTGCATCAAAAGTACTCTGTGTAAAGGGGCACTCTTATTACCACGTTGCAATGTACAAGTAGTTAATGTCTTCTGAATATGATAACATTAGAAAAATTCCTGGCCAGAAAAAAATCTGCATTGCATAAATGAGCCTCTGATTCATATTATTAGCATTTTCATACATCGAAAATATATAGTCAAACAGAAGAAATATCTTACTGAAAAAGCTTTGGTGCATAAGTGTCTTTACAATACGCAATGTGATAATTCTGGATGCCCTTTGATTGGTGGAGTGTATGTATAGAAACAAATATTAGACAAAACCAAAAAAAAAAAAAAAACAAATTGGAAAAGTGAATGTAATAAAAATTTGCAAAGTGTGTAAAAGACAATGTACACTTTCAGCTTAATGACAATAAAATAACAATTTCTTTTACAAACAAAAGTAGGACAGAAGATAGATGTTTCTTCAAAGTAGAGGGAAAAATGGAGACAGTCTTATGAAAAGGTGCCCAGTGTCTCTTGTGACCTTGCAGATGCAAATCGAAGCAGTAATAAGCATCTAAATGGTACTAAGGTGGTCTTATGCACAAATACAAACATGTAAAAATGTTGTAATGCTGTAAAGAAATTGATATTTTGTACGTCCTTATTGGGAAAGTGAAATAGTGTTATTGTCCTATCTCGTTTTTTCTGATTGTCTATCTTTCATTTTGAACTGTGTATACATAGGAAGATTCCTATATGAGAAAAGTCATATGATATTTAAGCCTCTGAGTCAGTTTTACTTCACTTGACAGTTTGGTCTCAAAGTTCACCTGTTTTTCTTCAAATGGCTCAAAAATAGAGCCATTTTAGCAGGCTATATTTCAGCATATACTTAAAAAATATCTCAGTGGCTGAGCAAGGCCATTCCCAGTCGTGCACTTCTTCACATTTAAAAGCAAGTACTGAAACATGTTCTGGTTAGGTAGGGTGCACAGGGGTCACAAGCTGGTGAAAACCAATGTCCCTCATGAGGTGAACGGAGATAGGCTTTCATATAGTTGGTTGACTGGTATTAAGACTCAGATATATCTGCTGAATGGTACTCTGAAATGACAAGATGGCACATATTGATGTATGTTACAATGTGATGAATTTAGAAAATTGTGTACACATGACAGAAGGCTGAATCAGATGCTCACAGACTGAAGGAATAATGAGGAAACCAGAGTAGGTAAATTCCCAAAGACAGAGAGCAGAACAGGGGTTCTCAGAGCTAGCACAAGTGTCTTCTCATGAGCTGCAGTTACTTTTGCATGCTGACACTCTGGGAGGTATGTAAATCACTGCACAGCAATGTGAATGTGCAAAGTGTCACTGGCTGTACACTTCACAGGAATATTTTCCTTCTGGATGAATTTTACATCAATAAACATAGCTAGTTAATACAGTTGATCTTCAACTGAAATGAGTGATTCTTCCATGCAATGGAGAAGCGGTTTGTGTAAATTTCTTAATTCTTATGTCTAACAAGATCAAACAGTATACCTTGGTTTAAAATATTTTTTCATTTTTCTGAATAAGTAATTAGAGAAAAACAGCGGTTGAAATTAAACAGGAAAAAATCTTCAATATATATCAAATTTAAGAAAAATGGAAAGTCAGTAGTAAAGGAGCACTAGAGACAGTACTTTATTTACTTTATGACCTATGAAGATGAGGCCAGCTTTTGCTCCTTTGGTATTGATTACAATTTGGTTCTACTGGTTAATATCTTTCATCAAAGTAGTTCAAGAGTTGAAACTCACCATGTTCCTTTTGAAGGGTTTCTGCAAAACAAGTGAGAAATATTGATGTAATCAGTGAAAGGACTTATAAATGCAATAACAAATGCTGAAAAATTAGGATTCTTTGGAGAAAGTAATTTAACAGATTGAGTAGAACATAAAGATACAGAGTGAGTTGGGAGTGATAGAGACAGTGAGATAGGGAGAGCCAAAATTTTGGATGGATTTTTATAACTAATATGTATCGATATCACAAATAGATCCTTTTTAAAAAGCATCAAGAAGGATTGGAGAAATTAGGAAATGATTACACATAACTGTAGCAAGACTATATTTAGTATACATAATATTAATAAAAATTATCTTTTTGTGTTCTGAGTTGTTCTGAAAAATAAAAAATATACCAAACTCACAATCAAATACAAAAAATGATTCTTATATCACTGATATTCATTTAGTGCTCCCCTGTACTTGTCCCCATAAGAATGGCTGGGAAGGAGAACAAAGTATATGACGTGCAGTGCAGAGCGGATAATTAGTATCTACACCTGGAAGAGTAACATGAAATTAGAGTTAGGACACATTTCTTCTTGTTTTTCAGAGATGCTTGCTACATAGCTAGAAGTTTATGCAAAGTGAGTCTCACATCAATTTTCAGTTGTATTTATTTATTTGGCCAGGACACAAAAGGCACAGGGAGAGGAACAGAGAGATGCAGATCATGGCCATAATGATACAGTACTCACACGCAGTAGTGAGGTTCTATAGATAAAAACATGGAGAAGATGTGTTGAAAACGGTGTACAGAAGTTCACATTGTGTACACTCTTAGTGGAAAAGTGAAGTAGTGCTATTATCTCCGTCTTTCTATTTCCAACCATTAACCTTTCTTGGGCTCTTTGTGCATACATTCAGTTTTGCATGTAGGAGAAAACGTGATGTTTTAGCTGAATTATGTTCACTTAACATTGCCATCTCAGGGTGCATCTATTTTTCTATGGGAGACTCAAAATAGTGGCATTTTATTTGAAAAATTTTAGTGAAATATATATGCTCAAACATTTGCATACAGAGTGTCGAGTCTTTCAAATGGAAAGCAAGCCTCAAGCAGGTACTTGTACAGGAATGTCCATGAAAACAGTATTTACAGTAGCCTGATACGGTAAGAATTCCTCAGTCCATAGGTAAATGGTTAAAAACAATTGCACATACTCTTCCAATGGAGTATTATTCACAAAGAAAAATAAAATACTGACACACATTTCAACGTGTCCAAGTTGGAAAATTCTGCACAGGTGAAAGTAGGCAGACACAAAATGTCAGATACCATGCAGTGTCCTGGATGTGTGGTAAGCAGAGCAGATGAATCCACAGAGAGAAAGCAGATTAGTGACTGTGAAAGGTTGAGTTTCAAGAAGCAGAGCTGACTGCTCAAGATGGCCTGAGTGCACTGGCTGCTGCTCTGGGAGCTATAAGCTGGTGAGAGTGGCACAGCCCTGAAGTGTACTGGGAGTCACTGAATTGTGTGCTGTAGAGGGCCTGCTCCTTTCACCATGTCTTTTACCACAATTAAAGCAACTAATCGGTATAAGCGATCATGAAATGAAATGTGACAGCGTCCACTCAGACAGTCAAGAACTAGCCTTGCTTAAGTTCCATAATTTCTAGACATGTGATGCTGAAATATCTCCCTACTTAAGTTTAAACTATCTTTTATTTTCCTGAACAAGTAGCTAAGGAAAAACTTTGCAAATGTAAAAGCAAAGAGGAAAAATTTTGAAAACAGATTAAGTTAAAGAAAGGCAATGCTTTATTTATTCTAAACCTTTTTTTTTTTTTTTTTGTCTTTTTTCTTTTTATCGGTACCGGGGATTGAACTCACGACTGCCTGCTTGCAAGGCAGACGCTTATGCCGCTGAGCTAAATCCCCAGCCCCTTATTCTAAACCTTTAAGATGAAGGTATCCTTCCCACATCGTTACTACTAAAATTATGGCTCTATCAGTAACATCCTTGAGAGAGCAGATCAAGATTAGAAAATCACCATTTTCCATTCTAAGTACACTTGCAAAACAAATGTAAGATATTGCTGAAATCAGTGAAGTAATTTCTAAATACAATCAAAAATGATCAAATAATAGATGTGGGGAAAAGTGAATTAACTTTAAGAGGAGAACAGAAAGATTAATAGAGTATTTAAAGGAATTTTGTTATTAGAATAGATAAAATTATAAATTTTATCTATTTTATCTACTCATAAATTTTATCTACCCATATAAAATACAAATTTTATCTACTCATATAAAATAGTAATCAATAGTAGAAAGATAAGAAAGTAATCAGACATACCTATAGGAAAGTTGTATTTTGTACATAAAATGTTATTAAAACTCACCATTATCTATTCTGAGTTGATCTGCTAAAATAAAAACATACAAAAATTACAGTCAAACATGAACAAAGTGATTCTAGTGTGATAGATATTTCTTGAATGCTCCTCTGTACCAAGCTTTATCAAAATGCTTTACATGGCATCATGATTACCATCAACCATGCTCAGAAACCAAATTAGTAAGCACATGTGGAAGAATACCATGAGATCAGTGGAACGAAACACATCTTAATTTTCACAGTTTCTTGTTCTGGAGATAAAAATTTATGCTAAGGAAGTCTGACATCAATTTGCCATTTTATTTAATTATTTTGGCTGGGGCCTGAAGGAACAGTGATGACATTGAAATGTCTGTGGGAGCAGAGTGTGAACCAGAAACATCCTCTAATATTTCTGTTTCTTCTCCTTGAGGTAGATGAATCTAGTCATCATCTACTATTGTCAAGTGATGATTTTGTATAAAAAATTATGTCTTTACAGCAACTGCATAATTCCGAGCTTTACTGAAAAATAGACTTTCATCTTCCATGATGAACATGTCTTTCCAAACCTGAGTTGTGGATGCATTAATATTCACACATACATTCCCTTCAAGAAAATTTGACACCCTCAGTCTGCAGTTGTGGCTTGATTAACATTAAAGTTCAATGTAGCATATTTAGCTATAGTGACAGAGATTATTTTGAAGCATATTTAACTAGCAGCCTGTGAAATACTTTCAGAGCAACTCAGTCATCACAAATAAGTATTAGCGAGCTGTGTTTTGTGTGCTGTGCAGCTTCCTGAGTAATAAGGTTACACAGCAGTGATGTCCTGAGAGAAAACTCATGTTACTGGATGTGATTGGCCCATGACTAAACTCCACGGGAAACAGTAACACCCTCTCACCTTTATGGGAGAATGTATTTCCTCTTTCCTTTTGTGGACTTCAAAAATTTCTCTGCTATGCACTGATACCTCATTCATTTATTATCTCCTCTCGTTTTTCACCTACTTTTCTGCTTATGTCCACTCACTCTCATGTTCTTTGTTCATTGTCATCTTCAAAATGAAATTCATATTATCAGATAAATTTAAAAAGAGTAAAAATTAAAATTCTGTTTGCTAGCTATTTTCATTAATGTACTGCAGTGAGTTCTGAATATTTCATTTTGTCATAGTTCATTTAAATATATACTAATGGAGAGAATATAAGTTTTGTATTTTTTTTAATTTTACAGAGTAGTCTTTTTACTACATCAACAGTACTCTATAAAGGAACACTCTTTCATTACCACGTTGCAATGTACAAGTATTTAATGCATTCTGAAAAAGACAACATTTCTGAGAAAAATTCCTGGCTAGAAAAAAATCTCCTTTGTGTAAATGGGCCACTCATTCACATTTTTAGTATTTTCATACATTGAAAGTATTTACTTAAACTGAAGAAAAAGTAGATCAAACATGTTACTGAAAAAGCTTTGGAGTATAAGCATTTGCAAAATATGCAGTGGGATGTTTCCTGATGTCCTTTGATTTTGGAGTGGATGTATAGAAAAGAAAGTGAGTCAAAAGCAATAAAAGACAAATTGAAAAATTGAATGTAATAAAAATTTACAAAGTGTGTAAATTACAATGTACACGTTCAGCTTAATGACAATAAAATAACGTTTCTTTAAGAAACAAAAAGAGGGACAGTAGATGGTTGTTTCTGCCAAGAAGAGGTACAAATGGACACAGGCCCGGGGAAAGGTGACCAGTGTCTCTTGTGACCTTGCAGATGCAAATCGAATCAGTAAGACAGCATCTCACAGGTACTAAGGTGGCACTTCTGGATAAATACAAACATGTAAAAGTCTGTTAAGAATGAAAACAAGTTCTTATTTGGTACTTCCTTACTGGGAAAGTGAAATAGTGCTATTTTCCTATCGTGTTTTTTCTGATTATCTATCTTTCATTTTGAACTGTGTATACATAGTAAGATTCTTATATGAGAGAAATCATATTATATTCAAGCTTCTGAGTCAGTTTTCCTTCACTTGACAATTTGGTCTCAAGGTGTATCTGTTTTTCTTCAAATGGCTCAAAAATAGAGCTCCTTCAGCAGGATACATTTCAGCATATATTTAAAAACAGACATAGTGACCAAGCAACTCCATTCCTAGTCGCACACTCCTTCATATTTGAAAGCAGGTGCTCAAACATGCTCTTGTGTGGTAGGGTGCACAGGGGTCACAAGATAATTAAACGCCAGTGTCCATCATGTGGTGAACAGAGAAAGGCTTTCACATAGGTGGTTGACTGGTATTCAGACTCAGATGTACTTTCTGAATGGGACTCTGCCATGACAAGATGGCAAGTATTGATGTATGTTACAACATGATGAATTTGGATAAGTGTGTACGCATGACAAAAGGCTGAATACGATGCTCACAGATTGAAGGAATAATGAGGAAACCAGAGTAGGTAAATTCCCAGAGACAATGAGTGGAACAGTGTTCATGCAAGCAACCAGATGTGTCTTCTTGTGAGCTGGAGTAAATTTTGCATGCTGCCACTCTGGGAGGTATGTGAAGGGCTGCACAGCACTGTGAATGTGCAAAGCAAAACTGGACTGTACACTTCACAGAAGTATTTTCGTTCATGACAAATTTTATGTCAGTAAACATAGCTAGTCAATAGAAGTGATCTTCAACTTAAATGAGTGATTCATCCATAAAATGGAGAAGCAGTTTGTGTACACTTCTTAATTTTTATGTTTATCATGATAAAACATTGTACTTTTGTTTAAAACATCTTTCATTTTTTGAACAAGTAATTAGAGAAAAATGGCAGTTGAAATTAAACAAAAAATCTTCACTATACATCAAGTTAAAGCAAAATGGAAAATTAGTAGTAAAGGTGTACTAGAGACACTTCTTTATTTACTCTATGACCTATAAAGATGAGGATACCTGTTACTCCTTTCATATTGCTTACAATTTGGTTCTATTTGTTAATATCTTCAATCAAATTGGATCAAGAGTTTAAACTCACCATGTTCTGTTTGAAGTGTTTCTGCAAAACAAATGAAAAATATTGATAGAATCAGGGTAATAATTTATTGATGCACTCACAAATGATCAAAAATTAGAAGTGTTTATAAAAAGTAAATTAACTGATGGTGTAGAACATAAAGACAGAGAGTGAGAGAGAGAAAGAGACAGGGTGAGATAGGTAGAGCCAAAATGTTGGACGAATTTTTAATATTAAGAATCTATCAAAATCACAAATAGATCCTTTTACAAAAAATGCAAGAAGGAGTGGAGAAATTATGAAATGATTACACATAACTGTAGCAAGATTGTATTTAGTACTTAAAATATTATTAAAATTTACATTTCTCTCTTCTGAGTTGTTCTGTAAAATAAAAGCTGACTGAACTCACAATCAAATAGAAACAAAATGATTTAACATCACTGATATTCAATGAGTGCTCCCCTGTACCAGGCCCCAAGAAAATGGCGGGAAGGAGTGCCAAGTTTACCATCTGCATTGCTCAGCAGATAATTAGTAGTTATGTCTGAAAGAGTAAATTGAGATTAGAGGCAGGACACATTTCTTCTTGTTTTTCATAACTCCTTACTCCATAGTTAGAAGTTTATGAAAAGTGAGTCCCACATCAATTTCCAATTACATTTTTTTTCCTTTTGCCCAGGACCCTAAATTCACAGGGACAGGAATGGAGAGATGCAGATCTCTGCGGTGAGGAATCACTACTCACACGCACTAGTGAGGTTCTATAGATGAAAAAATGGGATAGATGTGTTGAAAACAGTGTACAGATATTTAAACTGTGTACATTCTTAGTGGAAACGTGAAGTAGTGCTGTTTTCTCTGTCTTTCTCTTTCCTATCATTAACCTTTCTTGGGCTCTTTGGGCATGCATTGAGTTTAGCATGAAGGAGAAATGATGTGACATTTTAGATGAATTATGTCACTTAACATTAAATCTCAGAGTGCATCTATTTTTCTATGGGAGACTAAAAATAGTGGCATTTTTAATGGAAAATTTTTAGTGAAATGTATGTGCTCCAACATTTCCATACCCAGTGTCGAGTCCTTCAAAAGAAAAAGCAGGCCTCAAGCATGTACTTGTACAGGAATGTCCATGAAAACAGTATTTACAGTAGCCCAAAACGAGAAGAATCCCTATGTCCAGAAGTATGGTTAAAAATGATTGCACATACTCTTCCAGTGGAGTGTTATTCACAAAGAAAAATAAATTACTGAGGCACATTGCAATGTGTCCAATGTGAAAAATTCTCTACAGGTGACAGTAGGCAGCCAAAGAATGTCCTATACCCTGTAGTGTCCTAGATGTGTGGTAAGCAGAGCAGAAGAATCCATAGAAAAAAAGCAGAACAGTGTCTGTCGATGGTTGAGTTGATTTTGGGGAAGCAGAGCTGACTGCTCATGATGCCCTGAGTTCACTGGCTGCCGCTCTGGGAGCTACAAGCAGATGAGATTGGCACAGCCCTGGTGTGTACTGAAGTCACTCAATGTGTGCTGTAGAGGGCCTGCTCAGCTCACCATGGCTTTTACCACAATTAAAGCAACTAATCAGTACAAGGGATCATGAAATAAAATATGACCGCATCAAGTCAGACAATCAAGAACTGGCCTTGGTTAAGTTCCATAATGTGTAGACATGTGATGCTGAAATATCTTCCTACTTAAGTATAAACTCTCGGTTATTTTCCCGAAAGAGTTGTTCCAGAAATATTTGGCAGTCGAAAAATCAACTTGGATAATTTTGAAAACAGTTTAAGTTAAAGAAAAATGCAAACTGAATAATAGAATTGTGCTTGATGCAATGCTTTATTTATTCTAAACCTTGAAGATGAATATATCCTTTGCATCTTAGTTGCTGGTATAATTATGGCTCTGTTGGTGACATCCTTGTGAGAGGATATCAAGATTAGAAAATCACCATTTTCTGTTCTAAGTACACTTGAAAACAAATGAAGAATATTCCTGAAATCAGTGAAGTAATTTATAAATGCAATAAAAATAATCAAATAATAAACATGGAGAAAAGTGAATTAACTTTTAGAGGAGAACAGAAACATAGATAAATAGAATACTGAAAGGATTTTTGTTATCAGAATAGATAAATTACAAATTGATTCTTGTATAAAGCAGTAGTGAAAAGTAGACAGGTAAGAAAGTAGTCATAAACACCCATAGGAAGGTTCTATTTTGTACATAAAAATTTATTGAAACTCACCATTCTCTATTCTTTTTTGGTCTGAGAAAAGAAAAGCATACAAAAATCACAGGCAAAAATAAACAAAGTGATTCTAATGTGATTGATATTTCTTGAATGCACCTCTGAACCAAGCTTTATGAAAATACTTTGAAGGGCATCATATTTACCATATACCATGCTGAGAAACCAAATTAGTAAGTACATGTGGAAGGGTACAATGAGATCAGAGGACAAAACATGTCTTGTTATTTTTCACAGTTTCTTGTTCCTGAGTTAAAATTTTATGTAAAGGGAATCTGATGTCTGTTTGCCTTTTATTTATTTATTTTAACTGGAACCTGAAGCAACAGTGATGACATCGATATGTCTGTGGGAGGAGAGTGTGAACCTGTTTCTTCTTTTTGTTTAGATGAATCTTGTCATCAGCTACTATTGTAAAGTGAGCATTTTATATAATGAAAGTTTATGTCTCTAAAGCACCTGCATAACTTTGAGCCTTATTGAAAAATAGCCTTTCATCTTCCATTATGGACATGTCTTTCCAAAGCTGAGTTGGTGATGCATTAATATTTAGACATGTGTCCCCTTCAAGATAATTTGACACCCTCAGTCTGCGGTTGGGGCTTGATAAACATTCAGCTTCACTGTAGGATGATAAGCTATAATGACAGATATTATTTTGAAGCACATGTAAGTAGAAACCTGTGAATGATTATAAGGGCAAGTCAATCATCACAAAGAAGTATTAGTGATGCATGTTTTGTGTGCTATGCAGCTTCCTGAGTAGTAAGTTTATATACCAGTGAAGTCCTGTGAGAAAGCTCAGGTCAATATCTGCCATTGGCCACATGACTAAACTCCATGGTACAGACTACCACCCAATCGCCTTTTATGCAGATGGGTGCACAAGCTGCCATGTGTTTTTTTTGGAGAATTTATTGCCTCTTTCCTGTCATGGTTTCCAAAAGTTCCTCTGCTATATGCTGATACCTCATTCATTTACAGTCTAAATTTTCAGCTACCTTTTCTGCTTATGTCCACTCAGTCTTATTCTCTGTGCAGTCATCTTCAAAATGAAACTCTCATATTACCAGATAAAATTTAAAGGAGAAAAATTAGAATTATGTTTACTAGTTATTTTAGTTAATGAACTGCAATATTTTCTAAATATTTCAATAGATTTTCTCATAGTTTATTTGAATATACACTAGGGGAGAGATTATAAGGTGTATTTATTTTTTAATTTTACAGGGAAACAATTTTACTAGATCAAAAGTACTTTGTGTAAAGGAACACTCTTGCATTACCATGCTAAGTTGTACAAGTAGTTAAATTTCTCTGAAAAAGTCTTCATTTCAGAGAAATATTACTACCCAGAAAAAATTTCCATTGCATAAATGAGCCTGTCTTTCATATTTTTATATTTTTCCTACTTTGAAATTACTTAGTCAAACTGTAGCAAAAGTAGATCAAATATCTTTCAGAAAATGCTTCAGAGCATAAGATTCTTCAAATTATACAATGTGATTTTTTGCTGCCCATTGATTTTGGAGTGGATGTTGCCAAACAAAAATGAGGCAAGAGCAGTAAAAGACAAATTGATAAAGTGAATGTAATAAAAATTGGCAAAGTGTGTAGATGACAAAGTATACTTTCAGCTTAATGACAATAAAATAACAATTCATTTTAAAAACAAATTAGGGACATAAGATGTATCTTTTTGCCAAGAGTAGGGAAAATGGAGACAGGCCCATGGAAAGTTGCACAGTGTATTTTGTGACCTTGCAGATGCAAACTGAAGCACTAATACAGCGTTTCACAGGCAGTAAGAATGCTCTGATGGACAAATACACAAATGTAAAAGTCTTATAGGAATGTAAACAAGTTCATATATTGTACTTCCTTACTGGGGAAGTTAACTAGTGCTGTTTTCCTATCTCTTTTTTCTGATTGTTTATCTTTCATTTTGAACTGTTTATACATTGTAAGATTCTTATATGAGAGATATCATATGATATTTTAGCTTCTGAGTCAGTTATTTCACTTGAGAGTTTGGTCTCAAGGTGCATCTGCTTGTCTTTAAATGACTCAAAAATAGAGGCATTTCAACAGGATACACTTCAGCACATATTCAAAAAGAAACACAGTGCGCCAGGAATTGCATTGCCAGTCATACGCTCATTTAAATCTGAAAGCAGGTGCTCAAACATGTACTTGTGTGGGAGGGTCCACACGAGTTACAAACCAGTGCAACCCCAGTATCCATCATTAGGTGAATGGGCAAAGGCTTTCACATGGACGGTTGACTGGCACTCAGACTAAGATGTATTTGTTGAATGGTACTCTAACATGACAAGATTGCTAGTAGTGATGTATGTTACAACTAGATGGATTCGGAAAATTTTGTACACATGACAGAAGGCTGACTCAGATGTTCACAGACTGACAGAGTAAGGATGAAACCAGAGTAGGTAAATTCACAGAGGCAGAGTGTCGAACAGGTGTTATCAAAGCAACCCCAAGTATCTTCTCGTAGGCTGGAGTCAGTTTTGCATGCTGACTCTCTGGGAGCTATGTGAAGGGCTGCACAGCATTGTGAATGCACAAAATGCCACTGAACTGTAAATTTGACAGGAGTATTTTCATTGTGGATGAATTTTACCTCAATGAACATACTAGTCAATAGAAATAATCTTCAACTGAAATGAGTGATTCCTCCAAGAAATGGAGAACCAGTTTGTGTAAATTTCTTCATTTTTATGTTTATCCTGAAAAAACAGTGTCCTTTTTGATAAAATCCCTTTTATTTTTTTAAATAAGGGATTACAAAAAAACTGGGCAATTGAAAGTAAACAGAAAAATCTTCAACACACGAAATTTAATCAAAATGCTAAGTTAGTATTAAAGGTGCAATAGAGACAATGTTTTATTTACTCTCTTACCTATGAAGATGAGGATACTTTTTGTGCCTTTGGTATTGCTTACAATTTGGTAATATCATTAATGAAAGTGGATCATTGACTTGCAACTCACCATTCAATGTTTCAAGTGTTTCTGCAAAACAAATGAGAGATATAGATGTGATCAGTGAAATATCATATAAATGCAACCACAAATGATCAAATATTGAGAGTGCAGGAGTGATAGAAATAGTGAGATAGACAGAGAGAGCAAAATATATAAAAATCAAAAATAGATCCTTATAGAAAGGAGCAAGGAGGATTTGAGAAATTAGGAAGTGTTTACACATAACTGTAGCATGATTATATTTTGTACATTAAATGTTATTAAAATTCACCCTTCCCTATTCTGAGTTGATCTGCAAATTAAAACCAGGGCTATCACACACTCAAATAGAAACAAAATGATGCTAAAATTACTGATATACTTTCCATGCTCCATTGTACCAGGCCGCATGAGAGGGGCTGGGAAGGATCACCAAGTTTAACTTCTGCCATGCTCAGCAGATAATTATTAGCTACGCTTGGAAGAGTATCGTGAGATTGCAGGAAGGACACTTTTCTTGTTATTTTTCAGAGCTACTTGCTCCATAGTTAGATGTTGATGCAAAGTGAGTGTCTAACAATTTTGCCACTGTATTTATTTATTTTTTTGAGTGGTCCCTCAAGGCACTGTGACAGGATTAAGAAAATGCAGATCATGGCCATGACAATACACTACTCACATGCACTAGTACAGTTTCATAAACAAAAAAAAAAGGGAAAGATGGGTTAGAAAGAGTGTACAGAGAATTAAAGTGTGTACATTCTCAATGGGAAAGTGAAGAAGTGCTATTTTCTCTGTCTGTCTCTTTTTATCATTTACCTTTCTTTTGCTTTTGTGTGTACATTGAGTTTCACATGTAGGAGAAAACATATGATATTTTAGTTGAATTTTGTCAGAATTGAAGTCTCAGGGTGCATCTTTGTTTCTATGGGGGACTCAAACTTTTATGGGAAAAGTTTTAGTGAAATCGATATGCTCCAACATTTTCATTCACACTGTAGACTCCTTAAAAATTACAAAGCAAGCCTCAAGCACGTACTTGTACAAGCATGTCAATGAAGACAGTATTTACAGTAGCCCAAAATGGGAACAATCCCTAAGTCACTAGAAAACAATTGCACATACTCATCCAGGGGAGTGTTAGTCATAAAGAAATATAGATTACTGACATACATTATAACATGTCAAATGTGGAAATTTATATACAGGTGAAAGTAGGCAGCCACAAAATGTCATATACCATGTAGTGTCTTAGATGTGAGGTAAGCAGAGCAGATGAATACAGAGAGGAAAAGTAGAATAGTGACTGTCAAAGGCTGAGTTGAGTGTCGGAAAATAGAGCTCACTGCTCGTGATGCCTTGAGTGACTGTCTGCCATCCTGGGAACTACAAGGTGGTGAGAGCATTACAGCCCTGACGTGTACTGCAAGTCACCTAATGTGTTCTCTAGAGGGGCTGTCTCAACTCATCATGGTATTTATTTCAACTGTAGAAACTAATCAGTAAAAGTGATAATGAAATTAAATACTGAAGCATCAACTCAGACAGCCAAGAACTGGCCTTGCTTAAATTCCATAATTTCTAGACATGTGATGCTGAAATATCTACTTCCTTAAGTCTAAGACATCTTTTATTTTCTGGAACAAGTAGTTACAGAAAAAACTTGGCAGTTGAAAAAGCAAACAGAAAAAATTTTGAAACATGATTAAATGAAAGAAAAATGCAAACTAAGTAGTAGAAGTGTGCTAGAGGCAATGTTTAATTTATTCTAAACCTTGAAGATGAAAATGTCCTTTAGATCTTTATTCCTGCTAAAAATATGGCTCTATGGGCAAAATTCTTGTGAGAGCAAATCAACGTTAGAAAACAACAGTTTCCATTCTAAGTTCACTTGTAAAACAAATGAAGAATATTGCTGAGATCAGTGAAGTAATTTAAAATGCAATTAAAATGATCAAATAATAGATGTGAGGAAAAGTGAATCAACTTTTAGAGAACATAAAGATAGATTTATAGAATATTTAAAGGATATTACTATTAGAATAGATAAAAAAACAAATTGATACTATAAAGTAGTCCTAAAAAGTAGAAACATAAGAAATAAGTCATGCGTAACTGTAGGAAGATTGTATTTTATAAAAAAAAAAAGTTATTTAAACTCACCAGTTGTTCTTCTGAGTAGACCTGAGAAAAAGAAACATACAAAAATCACAGTCAAACATAAACAAAATGATTCGAAGTTCACTGATATTTTTTGAATTCTCCTCTGTGCCAGGCTTTATGGAAATGCTTTAAAGAGCATCGTGTTTACAATCTAACATGCTCAAAAATTAATTAGTTATCACATGTGGAAGACTACCACTAGATTAGAAGAAGGATACATGGCTTGTTTATTTTAACAATTTCTTGTTCCCTACTTAAAAATTTAAGGGAAGGGAGACTGATAATAATTTGCCATTTTATTCATTTATTTTGTCTGGGACCCTGAAGGAAAAGTGAGGACATCGATATCTCTTTGGGAGACACATCCAGTAATATTTCTGATTCTTCTGTTTTTGGTAGATGAATCTAGTCATCAGCTACTATTTTCAAGGGATGTTATTATATAACAAAAGATAATGTCTCTATAACACCTGTGTAATTCCCAGCTTTATTGAAAAATAGCCTTTCATCTTCCATTATGAACATCTCTGTCAAAAGCTGTGTAGGTGATGCATTAATATTTAGATGCAAGTTCCCTTCAAGAGAATTTGACACCCTCAGTCTCTGGTTGTGGCTTGATAAATGTTAAGATTCACTGTAGGATGATAAGCTATAAAGATAGACATTACTTGGAAATACATCTAATTAGCATCTTGTGACATATTTCAAGAGCAAGTCAATCACTGCAAAGAACTATTAGTGAGCCGTGTTTTGTGTGCTAAGCAATTCCTGTTAGTAAGGTTACACAGTAGTGAAGACATGCGAGAAAGCTCATGTCATTGGCTGTGATTTGGACCATGACTAAACTCGATTGTACGGGCTACCACCACATCGCCTTTTACACAGATGAGAGCAGAACCTGCCAAGAATTTCTATGGGAGAATTTATTTCTTCTTTCCTGCTATGGTCCTCATAAGTTTCTCTGCTATGTACTGATACTTATTTGATTTACTGTCTCCTCTAGTTTTTCAACTACCTTTTCTGCTTGTGTCCACTCACTCTCATACTCTTTGTTTGTGGTCATCTTCAAAAAGAAATTCTCACATTATCAGATAAATTTAAAAGTAATAAAAATTGGAATTCTCTTTGACAGTTATTTTAATTAATGTGCTGCAATGATTTCTAAATATTTCGATTCATTTTCTCATAGTTTATTTAAATACATACTAGTGGAGAGAATATAATGTATTTACATTTTTTAATTTTATAGAAAAACCATATTACTAGATTAAAACTACTTTGTGTAAATGAAAACACCCTTTTATTAACATGTTGCAATGCAGAAGTAGTTAAACTCCTCTGAAAATGTCTTCATTTCAAAAAACATTCCTGGCTAGAAAAAAATCTACATTGTATAAATGACCTCTCATTCATAGTTATAGTATTTTCCTACATTGAAACTATTTAGTCAAACTGAAGCCAAAATAGATCAAATATCTTACTGAAAAAGCTTTGGATATAACAATCTGCAAATTATACAATGTGATACTTTTGATGCCCATTGATATTGGAGTAGACGTTGAGAAATGAAAATGAGGCCAAAGCCGTATAGGACAAATTGATAAATTGAATGTAACAAATACTGGCAAAGTGTGTAGATGACAATGTAAAATTTCAGCTTTACGACAATAAAAAAATAATTCATTTTAAAAACAAGAATAGGGAGGTAAGGTGGATGTTTCTGCCAAGAAGATGAAAAAATGGAGACAGGCTCACGGGAAGGTGCACGGTGTCTCTTGTGACCTTGCAGATGCAAATTGAAGCACTAATACAGCATTTCACAGTTACTAAGTAGGCTCTGATGGACAAGTACACACATGTAAAAGTCTTATAAGAATGTAAACTAGTTCATATTTTGTACTTCCTTAATGGGAAAGTTAAATAGTGCTATTTTCCTATATCTTTTTTCTGATTGTCTATCAATAATTTTGAACTGTTTCTACAGTAAGATTCATATGTGTGAGATATCATATGATTTTTAAGCTTCTGAGTCAGGTTTACTTCCCTTGACAGTTTGGTGTCAAGGTGCATCTGTTTGGCTTCAAATGATTCAAAATAGAGCCATTTCAACAGGATACATTTCAGCACATATTCAAAAAGAAATACAGTGACCCAGCGATTCCATTCCCTGTCACACACTGCTTTAAATTTGAAAGCAGGTGCTCAAACATGCCCTTGTGTGGGAGGGTCCACAGTGGTCACAAGCTGGTGAAAGCCCCCTTTCCATCATGAGGTGAACAAGGAAAGTCTTTCACAGAGGTTGGTGACTGGCACTCAAACTCAGATATGCTCATTGAATTGTACTCTTTCATGACAAGATTGCAAACATTGATGTATGTTACAGCTTTAAGAATTCGGAAAATTGTGTTCACATGACAGAAGTCTGACTCTGATGTTTACAGACTGACAAAATCATGAGGAAATCAGAAATGGTAAATTCACAAAAACAGAGAGATGAACAGCAGTTATCAGTGCAACCACAAGTATCTTTTCGTGTGCTTGAGTCAGTTTTGTATGCTGACTCTCTGGGAGGTATGTGAAGGGCTGCACAGCATTGTGAGGAGGCAAAGTGTCACAGGACTGCACACTTCACAGGGGTATTTTCATTTTGGATGAATTTTACATCAATAAATAGCTAGTCAATAAAAGTGATCTTCAAATGAAATGAGTGATTCTTCCATGGAATGGAGAACGGGTTTGAGTAACTTTCTTAATTTTTTTTTTATCAAGATGAAACAGTGTACTTTTGTTAAAAAATATCTTTCATTTTTATAAAACGGTAATTAGAGAAAAACTCAGAAGATGAAATTAAACAGGAATAATCTTCAATACATATGAAATTTAAGCAAAATGGAAAATTAGTAGTAAAGGTGCACTAGAGACAATGTTTTATTTACTCTATGACCTATGAAGAACAGAATAAGTTTTGCTCCTTTGGTATGGCTTACAATTTCATTCTATTTCTTAATATCTTTAATGATATTGGATCATGTGTTGCAACTCACCAAGTATATTTTCAAGTGTTTCTGAAAAACAAATGAGAAATATTGATGGAATCAGTGGAATAACTTACAAATGAATCACAAATGTTCAAATTTAGAAGTCTTTGGAAAAAGAAAATTAACCGATGGGGTAGAAAGTAGAGATAGTCAGAGAGGAAGTGATAGAGACAGTGAGATAGGGAGAGAGAGCTAAAATGCTTGAAGGATTTTTAAAAATAAGAATGTATCAAAATCACTAATAGTTCATTTTAGAAAAGAGCAAGGAGGATTGGAGACATTAGGAAGTGGTTAAACATAATTGTATCAAGATTGTATTTCATACATAAAATGTTATTAAAATTCATTCTTCTCTGTTTTGAGTTGATTTGAAAATTAAAAACATAGCAATCACACATTCAAATAGAAACAAAAGGATTCTAAAATCACTGACATTCCTTGAATGTACCCCTGTACCAGACCTCATGAGAACGGCTGGAAAGGAGCACCAAGTTTACCATCTGCAGTGCTCAGCAGATAATTAGTAGCTATGGTTAGAAGAGTAATAGAAGATTAGAGACAGGACACATTTCTTGTTGTTTTTTTTTTCCCCCAGAGGTATTTGCCCAATAGTAAGAATTTTATACAAAGTGTCACATCAATTTGCTGTTGTATTGTTTCTTTTTGGGAGGACCCTGAAGGCACAGGGAGCAGTATAGGGAGACACAGATTATGGCCGTGATGATACAGTACTCACACAAACTACTGAGGTTGTATAAACAAAAAATTGAGGAAGATGTGTAGGAAAAATTGTTCAGAAATTTAAATTGTATACATTGTTAGTGGCAAAGTGAAGTAGTGCTATTTTTCTGTGTATCTCTTTTCTATCTTTTGCTCTTTGTGTATATATTGAGTTTAGCATGTAAGAGAAACGATGTCACATTTTAGCTGAAATCTGTCACTTACCATTATAGTCTCAGGGTGCCTCTATTTTTCTAATGGAGCCTCAAAATAGTGGATTTTTATGTGAAAAATTTTAGTGAAATCTATCTTCTCCCACATTTCCATTCTCAGTTTAGACTCCTTAAAAATAACAATGCAAGCCTCAAGCAAGTACTTGTACAGGTATTTCCTGAAATCAGTATTTACAGTAGCTCAAAATTGGCAGAATCACTGTGTCCATAGGTAAATGGTTAAAAACAATTGCACATACTCATTCAGTGGAGTGTTAGCCATAAAGAAAAATAAAGTACTGACACACATTACAACGTGTCAAATGCGGAAAATTGTACACAGGTGAAAGTAGGCAGCCACAAAATGTCTCATACCCTGTAGTGTCCTAGATGTGCAGTAAGCAGAGCAGATGAATCCATAGAAAAAAAGCGGAATAGTGGTTGTGAAACGCTGAGTTGATTTTGGGGAAGCAGAGCTGACTGCTCATGCCTGTATGTACCGGCTGGTGCTCTGGGTGCTACAAGCAGGTGAGAGTGGCACAGCCCTGACATGTACTGGAGGTAACTGAATTGTGTGCTGTAGAAGGCTTGCTCAGCTCACCATGCCTTTTACCACAATTAAAGCAACTAATCAGTATAAGCGATCATCAAATGAAATATGACTGCGTCCACTCAGACAGTCAAGAACTGGCCTTGCTTAAGTTCCATAATTTGTAGACCTGTGATGCTGAACTACCTACCTACTTAAGTTTAAACTATCTTTAATTTTCCTGAACAAGTAGCTAAAGAAAAACTTTTCAGTTGAAAAAGCAAAGAGGAAAAATTTTGAAAGCAGATTAATTTAAAGAAAAATGCAAACTGAGTAGTTGATGTGTGTTAGAGGCAATGCTTTATTTATTCTAAACCTTGAAGATCAAGGTATCCTTCCCAACTTGTTACTACTAAAATTATGGCTCTATCAGTAATTTACTTGTGAGAGCAGATCAAGACTAGAAAATCACAATTTTCTGTTCTAAGTACACTTGCAAAACAAATGAAGGATATTGTTGAAATCAGTGATGTAATTTCGAAATACAATAAAAAATGATCAAATAATAGATGTGGAGAAAAGTGAATTCACTTTAAGAGGAGAACAGAAAGATTGATAGAGTATATAAAGGAATTTTGTTATTAGAATAGATAAAAATTATAAATTGATACTCCTAAAATAGTAATGAATAGTAGAAAGATGAGAAAGTAATCAGATATACCTATAGGAAGGTTGTAATTTGTACATAAAATGTTATTAATACTTACCATTATCTATTCTGAATTGATCTGTTAAAACAAAAATGTACAAAAATTACAGTCAAACATAAACAAAGTGATTCTAATATGATAGATATTTCTTGAACGCTCCTCTGTACCAGGCATTATGAAAATGCTTTAAATGGCATCATGATTACCATCTACCATCCTCAGAAACCGAATTAGTAAGCACCTGTGGAAGAGTACCACGAGATTAGAGGAAGGACACACATCTTAATTTTCACAGTTTCTTGTTTGGGAGGTAAAAATTTATGCAAAGGGAGTCTGACATTAATTTGCCATTTTATTTATTTATTTTGGCTTGGTCCTGAAGGAAAAGTGACGACATCGAAATGTCTGTGGGAGCAGAGTGTGAACCAGACACATCTTCTAATATTTCTATTTCTTCTCTTTGAGGTAGATGAATCTAGTATCATCTACTATTGTCAAGTGATGGTTTTGTATTAAAAAATTATGTCTCTATAGCAATTGCATAATTCCGATCTTTATTGAAAAATAGACTTCCATCTTCCATGATGAACATGTCTTTCCAAACCTGAGTTGTGGATACATTAATATTTACACGTATGTTCCCTTCAAGAATTTTTGACACGCTCAGTCTGCGGCTGGGCCTTGATTCACATTAAAGTTCACTGTAGGGGGGCTGGGGATTTAGCTCAGCGGCATAAGCACCTGCCTTTCAAGCAGGCAGTCGTGAGTTCGATCCCTGGTACAGATAAAAAAGAAAAAGCAAAAAAAAAAAAAAAAAAAAGTTCACTGTAGGATATTTAGCTATATTGACAGATATTATTTGGAAGCACATTTAAGTAGCATCTTGTGAAATATTTTCAGAGCAACTCAGTCATCACAAATAAGTATTAGTGAGCCGTGTTTTGTGTGCTGTGAAGCTTCCTGAGTAGTAAGTTTACGCAGCAGTGAAGTCCTGAGGAAAACTCCTGTTACTGGATGTGATCGGCCCCATGACTAAACTCCACAGGAAACAGTAACACCCTCTCGCCTTTATGGGAGAATTTGTTTCCTCTTTCCTTTTGTGGACCTCAAATTTTCTCTGCTATGCACTGATACCTCATTCATTTAATGTATCCTATATTTTTTCAGCTCCTTTTCTACACATGTCCACTCACTCTCATTTTCTTTGTTTCTTTTCATCTTCAAAATGAAATTTGCATATTATCAGATAAATTTTAAAAGAGTAAAAATTAAAATTCTGTTTGCTAGTTATTTTCATTAATGTTCTGCAATGAGTTCTGAATATTTCATTTTGTCATAGTTCATTTAAATATATACTAATGGAGAGAATATAAGTTTTGTATTTTTTTAATTTTACAGAGTAATCTTTTTACTACATCAAAACTACTGTATAAAGGAACACTCCTTCATTACCACATTGCAAGATACAGGTATTTAATGCCTTCTGAAAAAGACAACATTTCTGAGAAAAATTCCTGGCTAGAAAAAAATCTCCTTTGTGTAAATGGGCCACTCATTCACATTTTTAGTATTTTCATACATTGAAAGTATTTAGTTAAACTGAAGAAAAAGTAGATCAAACATGTTACTGAAAACGCTTTGGAGTATAAGCATTTGCAAAATATGCAGTCTGATATTTGTTGATGTCCTTTGATTTTGGATGTATAGAAAAGAAAATGAGGCAAAAGCAGTAAAAGACAAATTGAAAAAAATGAATGTAGTAAAAATTTACAAAGTGTGCAAATGACAATGTACATGTTCAGGTTAATGATAATAAAAACCAGTTCCTTTTAGAAACAAAAAGAGAGACAGAAGATGGATGTTTCTACCAAGAAGAGGGGAAAATGGACACAGGCCCGGGAAAGGCGCCCAGTGTCTCTTGTGACCTTGCAGATGCAAATCGAATCAGTAAGACAGCATCTCACAGGTACTAAGGTGGCTCTTCTGGATAAATACAAACATGTAAAAGTCTGTTAAGAATGAAAACAAGTTCTTATTTGGTACTTCCTTACTGGGAAAGTGAAATAGTGCTATTTTCCTATCTTGTTTTTTTTCTGATTGTCTATCTTTCATTTTGAACTGTGTATACACAGTAAGATTCTTATATGAGAGAAATCATATTATATTCAAGCTTCTGAGTCAGTTTTACTTCACTTGACAATTTGGTCTCAAGGTGTATCTGTTTTTCTTCAAATGGCTCAAAAATAGAGCCACTTCGGCAGGATACATTTCAGCATATATTTAAAAAGACACACAGTGACCAAGCAACTCCATTCCTAGTCGCACACTCCTTCATATTTGAAAGCAAGTGCTCAAACATGCTCTTGTGTGGTAGGGTGCACAGGGTTCAAATGCTGTTAAAATGCCAGTGTCCATCATGTGGTGAACAGAGAAAGGCTTTCACATAGGTGGTTGACTGGTATTCAGACTCAGATGTACTTTCTGAATGGTACTCTGCCATGACAACATGGGAAGTATTGAGGTATGTTACAACATGATGAATTTGGATAAGTGTGTACACATGACAAAAGGCTGAATACGATGCTCACAGATTGAAGGAATAATGAGGAAACCAGAGTAGGTAAATTCCCAGAGACAGTGAGTGGAACAGTGTTCATGCAAGCAACCAGATGTATCTTCTCGTGAGCTGGAGTAAATTTTGCATGCTGCCACCCTGGGAGGTATGTGAAGGGCTGCACAGCACTGTGAATGTGCAAAGCAAAACTGTACTGTACACTTCACAGAAGTATTTTCGTTAATGACAAATTTTATGTCAGTAAACATAGCTAGTCAATAGAAGTGATCTTCAACTTAAATGAGTGATTCATCCATAAAATGGAGAAGCAGTTTGTGTACACTTCTTAATTTTTATGTTTATCATGATAAAACATTGTACTTTTGTTTAAAACATCTTTCATTTTTTGAACAAGTTATTAGAGGAAAATGGCAATTGAAATTAAACAAAAAATCTTCACTATAAATCAAATTAAAGCAAAATGGAAAATTAGTAGTAAAGGTGTACTAGAGACACTTCTTTATTTACTCTATGACCTATAAATATGAGGATACCTGTTACTCCTTTCATATTGCTTACAGTTTGGTTCTATTTGATAATATCTTCAATCAAATTGGATCAAGGGTTTAAACTCACCATGTTCCGTTTGAAGTGTTTCTGCAAAACAAATGAGAAATACTGATGGTATCAGGTTAATAACTTATTGATGCAATCACAATTGATTAAGAATTAGAAGTCTTTATAAAAAGTAAATTAACTGATGGTGTAGAACATAAAGACAGAAAGTGAGAGAGGGAGTGAAAGAAACAGGGTGAGATAGTTAGAGCCAATATGTTGGACGAATTTTTAATACTAAGAATCTATCAAAATCACAAATAGATCCTTTTTCAAAAACATCAAGAAAGAGTGGAGAAATTAGGAAATGATTACACATAACTGTAGCGATTGTATTTAGTACATAAAATATTATTAAAATTTACCTTTCTCTCTTCTGAGTTGTTTTGCAAAATAAAAACTGACTGAACTCAAAATCAAATAGAAATAAAATGATTCTAATATCACTGATATTCATTGAGTGCTCCCCTGTACCAGGCCCCAAGAAAATGGCTGGGAAGGAGTGAAAAGTTTAACATCTGCATTGCTCAGCAGATAATTAGTAGCTATGTCTGGAAGAGTAAATTGAGATTAGAGGCAGGACACATTTCTTCTTGTTTTTCAAAACTGCTTACTCCACAGTTAGAAGTTTATGCAAAGTGAGTCCCACATCAATTTCCAGTTACATTTTTTTTTTCCTTTTGCCCAGGACCCTAAATGCACAGGGACAGGAATGGAGAGATGCAGATCTCTGCGGTGAGAAATCACTACTCACACGCACTAGTGAGGTTCTATAGATAAAAAAATGGGGAAGATATGTTGAAAACAGTGTACAGAAATTTAAACTGTGTACATTCTTAGTGGAACAGTGAAGTAGTGCTGTTTTCTCTGTCTTTCTCTTTCCTATCGTTAACCTTTCTTGGGCTCTTTGGGCATACATTGAGTTTAACATGCAGGAGAAATGATGTGACATTTTAGATGAATGATGTCACTTACCATTAAATCTCAGAGTGCATCTATTTTTCTATGGGAGACTAAAAATAGCGGCATTTTTAATGGAAAATTTTTAGTGAAATGTATGTGCTCCAACATTTCCATACCCAGTGTCAAGTCCTTCAAAAGAAAAAGCAGGCCTCAAGCATGTACTTGTACAGGAATGTCCATGAAAACAGTATTTACAGTAGCCCAAAACGAGAAGAATCCCTATGTCCAGAAGTATGGTTAAAAATGATTGCACATACTCTTCCAGTGGAGTGTTATTCACAAAGAAAAATAAAGTACTGACGCACATTGCAATGTGTCCAATGTGAAAAATTCTATACAGGCGAAAGTACGCAGCCACAAAATGTCCTATACTCTGTAGTGTCCTAGATGTGTGGTAAGCAGAGCAGAAGAATCCATAGAAAAAAAGCAGAACAGTGTCTGTCAATGGCTGAGATGATTTTGGGGAAGCAGAGCTGACTGCTCATGATGCCCTGAGTTCACTGGCTGCCGCTCTGGGAGCTACAAGCAGGTGAGAGTTGCACAGCCCTGGTGTGTACTGAAGTCACTCAATGTGTGCTGTAGAGGGCCTGCTCAGCTCACCATGGCTTTTACCACAATTAAAGCAACTAATCAGTACAAGGGATCATGAAATAAAATATGACCGCATCAAGTCAGACAATCAAGAACTGGCCTTGGTTAAGTTCCATAATGTGTAGACATGTGATGCTGAAATATCTTCCTCTTAAGGATAAACTCTCAGTTATTTTCTCAAAAGAGTTGTTCCAGAAATACTTGGCAGTTGAAAAATCAACTTGGATAATTTTGAAAACAGTTTAAGTTAAAGAAAAATGCAAACTGAGTAATAGAATTGTGCTTGAAGCAATGCTTTATTTATTCAAACCTTGAAGATGAATATATCCTTTGCATCTTAGTTGCTGGTATAATTATGGCTCTGTTGGTGACATCCTTGTGAAAGGATATCAAGATTAGAAAATCACCATTTTCTGTTCTGAGTACACTTGCAAACAAATGAAGAATATTGCTGAAATCAGTGAAGAAAATTATAAATGCAATAAAAAATAATCAAATAATAAACATGGAGAAAAGTGAATTAACTTTTAGAGGAAAACAGAAACATAGATAAATAGAATATTAAAAGGATTGTTGTTATTAGAATAGATAAATTACAAATTGATTCTCGTATAAAGTAGTATTGAAAAGTAGACAGGTAAAAAAGTAGTCATAAACACCGATAGGAAGGTTCTATTTTGTACATAAAAATTTATTGAAACTCACCATTCTCTATTCTTTTTTGATCTGAGAAAAGAAAAGCATACAAAAATCACAGGCAAAAATAAACAAAGTGATTCTAATGTGATTGATATTTCTTGAATGTACCTCTGAACCAAGCTTTATGAAAATACTTTGAAGGGCATCATATTTACCATATACCATGCTGAGAAACCAAATTAGTAAGTACATGTGGAAGGGTACAATGAGATCAGAGGACAAAACATGTCTTGTTATTTTTCACAGTTTCTTGTTCCTGAGTTAAAATTTTATGTAAAGGGAATCTGATGTCTGTTTGCCTTTTATTTATTTATTTTAACTGGAACCTGAAGCAACAGTGATGACATCGATATGTCTGTGGGAGGAGAGTGTGAACCAGACACATCCACTAATATTTCTGTTTCTTCTTTTTGTTTAGATGAATCTTGTCATCAGCTACTATTGTAAAGTGAGCATTTTATATAATGAAAGTTTATGTCTCTAAAGCACCTGCATAACTTTGAGCCTTATTGAAAAATAGCCTTTCATCTTCCATTATGGACATGTCTTTCCAAAGCTGAGTTGGTGATGCATTAATATTTAGACATGTGTCCCCTTCAAGATAATTTGACACCCTCAGTCTGCGGTTGGGGCTTGATAAACATTCAGCTTCACTGTAGGATGATAAGCTATAATGACAGATATTATTTTGAAGCACATGTAAGTAGAAACCTGTGAATGATTATAAGGGCAAGTCAATCATCACAAAGAAGTATTAGTGATGCATGTTTTGTGTACTATGCAGCTTCCTGAGTAGTAAGTTTATATACCAGTGAAGTCCTGTGAGAATGCTCATGTCAATATCTGCCATTGGCCACATGACTAAACTCCGTGGTACATACTACCTCCCAATCGCCTTTTACACAGATGGGTGCAGGAGCTGCCATTTGTTTCTTTTGGGAGAATTTATTGCCTCTTTCCTGTTATGATTTCCAAAAGTTCCTCTGCTACATGCTGATACCTCATTCATTTACAGTCTAAATTTTCAGCTACCTTTTCTGCTCATGTCCACTCACTTTTATTCTCTGTGTAGTCATCTTCAAAATGAAATTCTCATATTACCAGATAAAATTTAAAGGAGAAAAATTAGAATTATGTTTACTAGTTATTTTAGTTAATGAACTGCAATATTTACTAAATATTTCAATAGATTTTCTCATAGTTTATTTGAAAATATACTAGGGGAGAGAATATAAGGTGTATTTATTTTTTAATTTTACAGGGAAACAATTTTACTAGATCAAAAGTACTTTGTGTAAAGGAACACTCTTGTATTACCATGTTAAGCTGTACAAGTTGTTAAATTCCTCCGAAAAAGTCTTCATTTCAGAGAAATATTACTCCCTAGAAAAAATTTCCATTGCATAAATGAGCCTGTCTTTCATATTTTTAAATTTTTCCTACTTTGAAAGTACTTGGTCAAACTGAAGCAAAAGTAGATCAAATATCTTTCAGAAAATGCTTCAGAGCATAAGATTCTTCAAATTATACAATGTGATTTTTTGCTGCCCATTGATTTTGGAGTGGATGTTGCCAAACAAAAATGAGGCAAAAGCAGTAAAAGACAAATTGATAAAGTGAATGTAATAAAAATTGGCAAAGTGTGTAGATGACAAAGTATACTTTCAGCTTAATGACAATAAAATAACAATTCATTTTAAAAACAAATTAGGGACATAAGATGTATCTTTTTGCCAAGAGTAGGGAAAATGGAGACAGGCCCATGGAAAGTTGCACAGTGTATTTTGTGACCTTGCAGATGCAAACTGAAGCACTAATACAGCGTTTCACAGGCAGTAAGAATGCTCTGATGGACAAATACACAAATGTAAAAGTCTTATAGGAATGTAAACAAGTTCATATATTGTACTTCCTTACTGGGGAAGTTAACTAGTGCTGTTTTCCTATCTCTTTTTTCTGATTGTCTATCTTTCATTTTGAACTGTTTATACATTGTAAGATTCTTATATGAGAGATATCATATGATATTTTAGCTTCTGAGTCAGTTATTTCACTTGAGAGTTTGGTCTCAAGGTGCATCTGCTTGTCTTTAAATGACTCAAAAATAGAGGCATTTCAACAGGATACACTTCAGCACATATTCAAAAAGAAACACAGTGCGCCAGGAATTGCATTGCCAGTCATACGCTCATTTAAATCTGAAAGCAGGTGCTCAAACATGTACTTGTGTGGGAGGGTCCACACGAGTTACAAACCAGTGCAACCCCAGTATCCATCATTAGGTGAATGGGCAAAGGCTTTCACATGGACGGTTGACTGGCACTCAGACTAAGATGTATTTGTTGAATGGTACTCTAACATGACAAGATTGCTAGTAGTGATGTATGTTACAACTAGATGGATTCGGAAAATTTTGTACACATGACAGAAGGCTGGCTCAGATGTTCACAGACTGACAGAGTAAGGATGAAACCAGAGTAGGTAAATTCACAGAGGCAGAGTGTCGAACAGGTGTTATCAAAGCAACCCCAAGTATCTTCTCGTAGGCTGGAGTCAGTTTTGCATGCTGACTCTCTGGGAGCTATGTGAAGGGCTGCACAGCATTGTGAATGCACAAAATGCCACTGAACTGTAAATTTGACAGGAGTATTTTCATTGTGGATGAATTTTACCTCAATGAACATACTAGTCAATAGAAATAATCTTCAACTGAAATGAGTGATTCTTCCAAGAAATGGAGAACTGGTTTTTGTAAATTTCTTCATTTTTATGTTTATCCTGAAAAACCAGTGTCCTTTTTCATAAAATCCCTTTCATTTTTTAAAATAAGGGATTACAGAAAAACTGGGCAATTGAAACTAAACAGGAAAAGTCTTCAACACATGAAATTTAATCAAAATGCTAAATTAGTATTAAAGGTGCAATAGAGACAATGTTTTATTTACTCTATGACCTATGAAAATGAGGATACTTTTTGCGCCTTTGGTATTGCTTACAATTTGGTAATGTCATTAATCAAAGTGGATCATTGACTTGCAACTTACCATTCAATGTTTCATGTGTTTCTGCAAAACAAATGAGAAATATGTATGGAATCAGTGAAAAAACATATAAATGCAATCACAAATGATCAAATATTGGGAGCCTTTGGAAAACTTAAAATTACTGATGGGGTAGAACTTAGAGATAAAGAGTGAAGGAGTGATAGAGATAGTGAAATAGACAGAGAGAGCAAAAAATATATAAAAATCAAAAATAGATCCTTATACAAAGGAGCAAGGAGAATTTGAGAAATTAGGAAGTGTTTACACATAACTGTAGCATGATTGTATTTTGTACATAAAATATTATTAAAATTTGCCCTTCCCTATTCTAAGTTGATCTGCAAATTAAAACCAGGGCTATCACACACTCAAATAGAAACAAAATGATGCTAAAATCACTGATATTCTTTCCATGCTCCATTGTACCAGGCCGCATGAGAGGGGCTGGGAAGGATCACCAAGTTTAACATCTGCTCTCCTCAGCAGATAATTAATAGCTATGCTTGGAAGAGTATCATGAGATTAAAGGCAGGACACTTTTCTTGTTATTTTTCAGAGCTACTTGCTCCATAGTTAGAAGTTGATGCAAAGCGAGTGTCTAACCAGTTTGCCACTGTATTTATTTCTTGTTTGAGTGGACCCTGAAGGCACTGTGACAGGATTAAGGAAATGCAGATCATGGCCATGGAAATACGCTACTCACGCCCACTAGTGCCGTTTGATAAACAAAAAAATGGGGAAGATGGGTTAGAAAGAGTGTACAGAAAATTAAATTGTGTACATTCTCAGTGGGAAAATGAAGTAGTGCTATTTTCCCTGTCTGTCTCTTTTTTATCATTTACCTTTCTTTTGATTTTGTGAGTACATTGAGTTTCGCATGTAGGAGAAAACATATGATATTTTAGTTGAATTTTGTAACAATTAAAGTCTCACGGTGCATCTTTGTTTCTATAGGAGACTCAAAATAGTGGTTATTTATGGGAAAAGTTTTAGTGAAATCGATATGCTCCAACATTTCCATTCACACTGTAGACTCCTTAAAAATTACAAAGCAAGCCTCAAGCATGTACTTGTACAGGTAGGTTGATGAAGACAGTATTTACAGTAACCCAAAATGGGAAGAATTCCTAAGTCACTAGAAAAATGTTTAAAAACAATTGCACATACTCATCCAGTGGAGTGTTAGTCATAAAGAAATATATAGATTACTCACAAACATTACAACATGTCAAATGTGGAAATTTATATACAGGTGAAAGTAGGCAGCCACAAAATGTCATATACCATGTAGTGTCTTAGATGTGAGGTAAGCAGAGCAGATGAATACAGAGAGAAAAAGTAGAATAGTGACTGTCAAAGGCTGAGTTGAGTGTCAGAAAATAGAGCTCACTGCTCGTGATGCCTTGAGTGACTGTCTGCCATCCTGGGAACTACAAGGTGGTGAGAGCATTACAGCCCTGACGTGTACTGCAAGTCACCGAATGTGTTCTCTAGAGGGGCTGTCTCAACTCATCATGGCATTTATTTCAACTATAGAAACTAATCAGTAAAAGCGATAATGAAATGAAATACTGCAGCATCAACTCAGACAGCTAGAACTGGCCTTGCTTAAATTCCATAATTTCTAGACATGTGATACTCAAATATCTACCTCCTTAAGTCTAAAACATCTTTTATTTTCTGGAACAAGTAGTTACAGAAAAACTTGGCAGTTGAAAAAGCAAACAGAAAAAATTTTGAAACATGATTAAATGAAAGAAAAATGCAAACTAAGTAGTAGAAGTGTGCTAGAGGCAATGTTTAATTTATTCTAAACCCTGAAGATGAAAATGTCCTTTAGATCTTTATTGCTGCTAAAAATATGGCCCTATGGGTAAAATTCTTGTGAGAGCAAATCAACGTTAGAAAACAACATTTTCCATTCTAAGTTCACTTGTAACACAAATGAAGAATATTGCTGAGATCAGTGAAGTAATTTAAAATGCAATTAAAATGATCAAATAATAGATGTGAGGAAAAGTGAATTAACTTTTAGAGAAGAACAGAAAGATAAATTTATAGAAGATTTAAAGGATATTATCATTAGAATACATAAAAATACAAATTTATACTACTGTAAAGTAGTCATAAAAAGTAGAAAGATAAGAAATCAGTCATATGTAACTGTAGGAAGATTGTATTTTATAGAAAAAAAATGTTATTTAAACTCACCAGTTGTTCTTCTGAGTAGAACTGAGAAAATAAATACATACAAAATTCACAGTCAAACATAAACAAAATGATTCTAAGTACACTGATATTTTTTGAATTCTCCTCTGTACCAGGCTTTATGGAAATGCTTTAAAGGGCATCGTGTTTACAATCTAACATGCTCAAAAATTAATTAGTTATCACATGTGGAAGACTACCACTAGATTAGAGGAAGGATACATGTCTTGTTTATTTTATCAATTTCTTGTTCCCTAGTTAAAAATTTAAGCAAAGGGAGCCTGACAATAATTTGCCATTTTATTCATTTATTTTGTCTGGGACCCTGAAGGAAAAGTGAGGACATCAATATGTCTGTGGGAGACACATCCACCAATATTTCTGATTCTTCTGTTTTTGGTAGATAAATCTAGTCATTAGCTACTATTTTCAAGGGATGTTATTATATAACAAAAGATAATGTCTCTATAGCACCTGTGTAATTCCCAGCTTTATTGAAAAATAGCCTTTCATCTTCCATTATGAACATCTTTGTCAAAAGCTGTGTAGGTGATGCATTAATATTTAGATGCAAGTTCCCTTCAAGAGAATTTGACACCCTCAGTCTCTGGTTGTGGCTTGATAAACATTAAAGTTCACTGTAGGATGATAAGCTATAAAGATAGACACTATTTGGAAATAGATATAATTAGCATCTTGTGAAATATTTTGAGAGCAAGTCAATCACTGCAAAGAAGTATTAGTGAGCTGTGTTTTGTGTGCTGAGCAGCTTCCAGTTAGTAATGTTACACAGTAGTAAAGACATGTGAGAAAGTTCATGTCACTGGCTGTGATTGGCCCCGTGACTAAACTCCACTGTACACAGTAACACCCCATCGCCTTTTACACAGATGAGAGCAGAACCTGCCAAGAATTTCTATGGGAGAATTTATTTCTTCTTTCCTGCTATGGTCCTCATAAGTTTCTCTGCTAGGTACTGATACTTCTTTGATTTACTGTCTCCTCTAATTTTTCAACTACCTTTTCTGCTTGTATCCACTCACTCTCATCCTCTTTGTTTTTGGTCATCTTAAAAAAGACATTCTCACATTATCAGATAAATTTAAAAGTAATAAAATTTGGAATTCTCTTTGACAGTTATTTTAATTATTGTACTGCAATGATTTCTAAATATTTCGATACATTTTCTCATAGTTTATTTAAATACATACTAGTGGAGAGAATGTAATGTGTGCATATTTTTCAATTTTAGAAAAAAAAGTATTACTAGATTAAAACTACTTTCTGTAAATGAAAACACTCTTTTATTACCACGTTGAGATGCAGAAGTAGTTAAAGTACTCTGAAAATGTCTTCATTTCAAAATATATTTGTGGCTAGAAAAAAATCTACATTGTATAAATGAACCTCTCATTCATAGTTATAGTATTTTCCTACATTGAAAGAATTTAGTCAAACTGAAGCCAAAATAGATCAAATATCTTACTGAAAACACTTCAAAGTATAACAATCTGCGAATTATACAATGTGATACTTTTGATGGCCATTGATATTGGAGTCGACATAGAGAAATGAAAATGAAGCAAAAGCCATAAAAGACAAATTGATAATTTGAATATAACAAATATTGGCAACGTGTGTAGATGACAATGTACAATTACCAGGTTTTTGACAATAAAATACAATTCATTTTAAAAACAGGAATAGGGACATAGGATGGATGTTTCTGCCCAAAAGAAGAAAAAATGGAGACAGGCTCACGGGAAGGTGCACAGTGTCTCTTTTGACCTTGCAGATGCAAATTGAAGCACTAATACAGCATCTCACAATTACTAAGTAGGCTCTGATGGACAAACACACACATGTAAAAGTCTTATAAGAATGTAAACTAATTCATATTTTGTACTTCCTTAATGGGAAAGTTAAATAGTGCTATTTTCCTATATCTTTTTTTTCTGTCTATCAATAATTTTGAATTGTTTCTACAGTAAGATTCATATATGTGAGAAATCATATGATTTTCAAGCTTCTGAGTCAGGTTTACTTCACTTGACAGTTTGGTGTCAAGGTGCATCTGTTTGTCTTCAAATGACTCAAAAGAGAGCCATTTCAACAGGATACATTTCAGCACATATTCAAAAAGAAACACAGTGACCCAGCGATTCCATTCCCTGTCACACACTCCTTTAAATTTGAAAGCAGGTGCTCAAACATGCTCTTGTGTGGGAGGGTCCACAGTGGTCACAAGTTGGTGAAAGCCCCTTTTGCATCATGAGATGAAAGAAGAAAGTCTTTCACATAGGTTGGTGACTGGCACTCAAACTCAGATATGCTCATTGAATTGTACTTTTTCATGACAGGATTGCAAATATTGATGTATGTTACAACTTGATGAATTCAGAAAATTGTGTTCACATGACAGAAGTCTGACTCTGATGTTTACAGACTGACAAAATAATGAGGAAATCAGAGAAGGTAAATTCCCCAAAACAGAGAGAGGAGCAGCGCTTATCAGTGCAACCACAAGTATCTTCTCTTGTGCTTGAGTCAGTTTTGCATGCTGACTCTCTGGGAGTTATGCAGAGGGCTGAACAGCACTGCGAGTGGGCAATGTGTCACAGGACTGCACACTTCACAGGGGTATTTTCATTTTGGATGAATTTTACATCAATAAATAGCTAGTCAATAAAAGTGATCTTCAACTGAAATGAGTGATTCTTCCATGGAATGGAGAACGGGTTTGAGTAAGTTTCTAAAATTTTTTTGATCAAGATAAGACAGTATACTTTTGTTAAAAAATATCTTTCATTTTTATAAAACGGAAATTAGAGAAAAACTCAGAAGATGAAATTAAACAGGAATAATCTTCAATAAATATGAAATTTAAGCAAAATGGAAAATTAGTAGTAAAGGTGCAGAGACAATGTTTTATTTACTCTATGACCTAAGAAGATGAGGACACCTTTTGCTCCTTTGGTATGGCTTACAATTTCGTTCTATTTGTCAATATCTTTAATGATATTAGATCAAGTGTTGCAACTCACCAAGTATATTTTCAAGTGTTTCTGAAAAACAAATGAGAAATATTGATGGAATCAGTGAAATAACTTACAAATGAATCACAAATGTTCAAAAATTAGAAGTCTTTGGAAAAAGTAAATTAACTGCTGTGGTAGAACGTCGAGATAGACAGTCAGAGAGGAAGTGATAGAGACAGTGAGATAGGGAGAGAGAGCTAAAATGCTTGAAGGATTTTTAAAAATAAGAATGTATCAAAATCACTAATAGTTCCTTTTAGAAAGGAGTAACGAGGATTGGAGAAATTAGGATGTGGTTACACATAATTGTATCAAGATTGTATTTCATACATAAAATGTTATTAAAATTCATTCTTCTCTGTTTTGAGTAGATTTGAAAATTAAAAACATAGCAATCACACATTCAAATAGAAACAAAATGATTCTAAAACATTGACATTCCTTGAATGCACCCCTGTACCAGACCTCATGAGAACGGCTGGAAAGGAGCACCAAGTTTACCATCTGCAGTGCTCAGCAGATAATTAGTAGCTATGGTTAGAAGAGTAATAGAAGATTAGAGACAGGACACATTTCTTGTTTTTTTTTTCCCAGAGGTGTTTGCCCAATAGTAAGACTTTTATACAAAGTCTCATATCAATTTGCTGTTGTATTGTTTCTTTTTGGGAGGACCCTGAAGGCACAGGGAGCGGTATAGGGAGACGCAGATCATGGCCGTGATGATACAGTACTCACACAAACTACTGAGGCTGTATAAACAAAAAATTGAGGAAGATGTGTAGGAAAAAGTGTACATAAATTTAAATTGTGTACATTGTAGAAGTAGTGCTATTTTTCTGTGTGTCTCTTTTCTATCGTTTGGTCTTTGTGTATATATTGAGTTTAGCATGTAAGAGAAATGATGTCACATTTTAGCTGAAATCTGTCACTTACCATTATAGCTGCCTCTATTTTTCTAATGGAGCCTCAAAATAGTGGCTTTTTATGTGAGAAATTTTAGTGAAATCTATCTGCTCCCACATTTCCATTGTCAGTTTAGACTCCTTAAAAATAACAAAGCAAGCCTCAAGCAAGTACTTGTACAGGTATTTTGTGAAAACAGTATTTACAGTAGCTCAAAATTAGAAGAATCCCTATGTCCATAGGTAAATAGTTAAAAACAATTGCATGTACTCATCCTGTGGAGTGTTAGCCACAAAGAAAAATAAAGTACTGACAGACATTACAACGTGTCGAATGTGGAAAATTCTACACAGGTGAAAGTAGGCAGCCACAAAATGTCTCATACCCTGTAGTGTCCTAGATGTGCAGTAAGCAGAGCAGATGAATCCATAGAAAAAAAGCAGAATAGTGATTCTGAAAGGCTGAGTTGATTTGGGGGAAGCAGAGCTGACTGCTCATGCCTGAGAGCACTGGCTGCCACTCTGGGAGCTACAAGCAGGTGAGAGTGGCACAGCCCTGAAGTGCACTGGAAGTCACTGAATGTGTGCTGTAGAGGGGCTGTCTCAGCTCATCATGGCTTGGACTTCAGTTAAAGCAGCTAATCAGTACAAGTGATCGTGCAATGAAAAAAGACAACGTCAAGTCACACAGTCAAGAACTGGCCTTGTTTAAGTTACATAATTTGTAGACATGTGATGGTGAAACATGTACCTAATTAAGTAAAAAATATCTTTTTATTGCTGAACAAGTAGGTAGAGAAAAATGTGTTTGTTGAAAAAGCAAATCAGAACAATTTTTAAAACAGATTAAATGAAAGAAAAATGCAATCTGAGTAGTAGAAATGGGCTAAAGGCCATGTATTATTTAACCTAAACCTTGAAGATGACAATATCCTTTGCATCTTTGTTACTGCTAAAAATATGACTCTATGGGTAATATCCTTGTGAGAGCAGATCAAGATTGGAAACTCACCATTTTCTGTTCTAAGTTCACTTGCAAAACAATTAAAGAATTTTGCTGAAATCAGCAAAGTAATTTAAAATGCAATAAAAATGATCAAACAATTAGATGTGAGGAAAGGTGAACTAACTTTTACTGAAGAACAGAAAGATACATAGCTAGAATATTTAAAGTTTTGTTATTATATAGATAAAAATACAAATTGATACATCTATAAATTAGTAATGAAAAGAATAAAGATAAGAATGTAATCACACATAGCTATAGGAAGATTGAATTTTATACATAAATGTCAATAAAACTCACCAATGTTTCTTCTGTATTGATCTGCACAAATAAAAACATGCAAAACTCAAAGTCAAACACAAACAAAATTATTCTAAGTTTATTGATATTTTTTGTATTCTCCTCTGTACCAGGTTTTATGAAAATACTTAAAAGGGCATCATGTTTACAGTCTACCATGTTCACAAACTAAATTCCTAAGCACATGTGGAAGACTACCATTAGATTAGAGGAAGAAAACATGAGTGATTAATTTTAACAGTTTCTTGTTCCATAGTTAAACATATATTCAAAGGAAGTCTGACATCAATTTTCCATTTTATTTATTTATTTTTGCTGGGACCCTGAAGCAACAGTGACGACATCGATATGTCTGTGGGAGCAGAGTGTGAACCAGACACATCCACTAATATTTCTGTTTCTCCTATTTTTGGTAGATGAAACTTCTCATCAGCCACTATTATAAAGTGATGCTTTTATATAACCAGTATTATGTCTCTATAGCACCTGTATAACTCCCAGCTTTATTGAAAAATAGTCTTTCATCTTCCTTTATGAACATCTCTGTCAAGAGATGAGTTGGTGATGCATTAATATTTAGACGTAAGTTCCCTTCAAAAGAATTTGACACCTTCAGTCTGTAGTTGAGGCTTGATAAACATTAAGCTTCACTGTAGGATGATAAGCTATAATCACAGACATTATTTTGAAGCACATCTAAGAAGCAACCTGTGAAAGATTATAAGGGCAAGTCAATCATTTTGCCTGTTATGCACTTTCCTGAGTAGTAAGGTTATACACCAGTGAAGTCCTGTGAGAAAACTCAGGTCAATGTCTGTGACTGACCCCATGACTAAACTCCGTGGTAAAGACCACCACCCGATCGCATTTTACACAGATGAGTGCACAACATGCCATATGTTTCTATGGGGGAATTTATTTCTTCTTTCCTGTTATGGTCCTAAAAAGTTTCTCTGCTGTGTACTGATGCCTCATTCATTTACTTTCTCCTTTAATTTTTCAGCTACCTTTTATGCTTATGTCCACTCACTCTCATTCTCTTTGTTTGTGATCATCTTCAAAATGAAATCCTCTCATTATCAGATAAATTGAAAAGGAGTTAAAATTAAAGTTCTGTTTGCTAGTTATTGTATTAATGTACTGCAATGATTTCTAAATATTTCAATTGATTTTCTCATAGTTTATTTAAATATACACTAGTGGTGAGAAAATGTTTGTTCATTTTTTAATTTTACAGGGGAAACTTTTTACTACATCAAAAGTACTTTGTGTAAAGGAACACTCTTGCATTACCACGTTGCAATGTACAAGTAGTTCAATTCCTCTGAAAAGGTCTTCATTTCAGGGAAAAATTCCAGTCTAGAAAAAATCTCTGTCATATAAAGGAGCGTCTCATTCATATTTTTAGTATTTTCCTACATTGAAAGTATTTAGTTAAACTGAAGCCAAATTAGATCGAACATCTAAAAGAAAAAGCTTCAGAGCACAAGCATCTGCAAATTATGCAATGTGATATTTTTGAGGCCCATTAATTTTGGAGTGGACATTGCAAAACTAAAATGAGGCAAAAGCAGTAAAAGACAAACTGAAAAAGTGAATGTAATAAAACTTGGCAAAGTGTGTAGATGACAAAGTACACTTTGAGCTTAATGACTATAAAATTACAATTCATTTTAAAAACAAATTAGGGACATAAGATGTATGCTTCTGTCAAGAAGAGAGAAAAAGGAGACAGGCCCATGGAAAGGTCCTCGGTGACGCTTGTGATCTTGCAGATGCAAATTGAAGCACTAAAACAGTGTCTCACACGCACTAAGAAGGGTCTGAGCGGCAAATGCACACGTGTAAAAGTCTTATAAGAATGTAAACAGGTTCATATTTTGTACTTCCTTACTGGGAAAGTTAAATAGTGCTGTTTTCCTAACTCTTTTTTTCTGATTGTCTATCTTTCATTTTGAACTGCTGATGCATTGTAAGATTCTTATATGAGAGATATCATATGATATTTTTGTTTTTCAGTCAAGTTTACTTCCCTTGACAGTTTGGTCTCAAGGTGCATCTGTTTGTCTTCAAATGACTCAAAAATAGAGGCATTTCAACAGGATATATTTTAGCACATATTCTAAAAGAAACACAGTGACCCACCAATTGCATTCCAGTCATAAGCTCCTTCAAATCTGAAAGCAGATGCTCAAACAGACACTTGTGTGGCAAGGTCCACATGGGTTACAAACCGGTGAAACCCGAGTGTCCTTCATTAGGTAAATGGAGAAAGGCTTTCACATAGGTGGGTTACTGGTACTCAGACTAAGATTAATTTGTTGAATGGTACTCTATCATGACAAGATTTCAAGTATTGATGTATGTTACAAATAAATGAATTCGAAAAATTGTGTACACATGACAGAATGCTGACTCAGATGTTTGCAGAATGACAGAGTAATGAAGAAACCAGAGTAGGTAAATTCACAGAGACAGAGTTTTGAACTGGTGTTATCAGACAACCAAATACCTTCTCATGGGCTGGATTCAGTTTTGCATGCTGACTGTCTGGGAGCTATGTGAAGGGCTGGACAGCACTATGAATGCACAAAGTGTCACTGGACTGAACACTTGAAAGTAGTATTTTCATTCTGGAAGAATTTTACCTCAATAAACATACAAGTCAATAGAAGTATCTTCAACTGAAATGAGTGATTCTTCCATGGAATGGAGAACCGGTTTGTGTAAATTTCTTCATTTGTATGTTTATCATGATAAAAGTGTGTCCTTTTTTTAAAAAATCACTTTCATTTTTTAAAACAACGATTTAGAGAAAAACTCGGCAGTTGAAAGTAAACAGGAAAATTTTCAATATATATCAAATTTTAGCAAAATGGAAAATTAGTAGTAAAGGTGCACTACAGACAATTTTTTATTTACTTTATTACCTCTGAAGATGAGGATACCTTTTTCACCTTTGGTATTGCTGACAATTTGGTTCTATTTGTTAATATCTTTAATCAAAGTGGATCAAGAATTGAAACTCACCATATGCCGTGTGAAGTGTTTCTGCAAATGAAATGAGAAATATTGATGGAATCAGTGAAATTATTTATAAATGAAATCACAAATGATCAAATATTAGTCTTTGGGTAAGAAAATTAATCAAGGGGCAGAACGTAAAGATAGAGAGTGAGAGAGGAAATGATAGAGACAGAGTGAGATAGGGAGAGCCAAAACGTCTGACGGATTTTTAAAAATAAGAATATAGAAAAATCAAAATTAGATCCTTTTTCAAAAGGATCAAGACGGAGTGAAGAAATTAGGATATGATTACACGTAACTGTAGCGATTGTATTTAGTACATAAAATATTATTAAAATTTACCTTTCCCTGTTCTGAGTTGATCTGAAAAATAAAAACATATGGAACTCAGAATCAAATGAAACAAATGTTTCTAATATCACTGATACTCATTGAGTGCTCTCCTGTACCAGGCCCCAACAGAATGGCTGGGAAGGAGCACCAAGTTTACCATCTGCAGTGCTCAACAGATAATTAGTAGCTAGGACTGGAAGAGTAACATGACGTTAGAGGTAGGAAATATTTCTTGTTGTTTTTCATAGCTGCTTGCTCCATAGTTAGAAGTTTATGCAAAGTGAGTTTCACATCAATTTGCCAAAGTATTTATTTCTTTTTGATCAGGACCCTGAAGGCACAGGGAGCAGAATAGAAAGACGCAGATCATGGCTGTGATGATACACTACTCACAGGCACTAGTGAGGTTTTATAAACAAAAAATGGGGAAGTTGTGTGGGAAACAGTGTACAGAAATTGAAATAGTGTACATCCGTAGGGAAAAGTGAAGTAATGCTATTTTCTCTGTCTGTCTCTTTCCTATCGTTTACCTTTATTTTGTTCTTTGTTCATACATTGAATTTTGCATGTAGGAGAAACCATGTGAAGTTTTAGCTGAATTATGTTGCTTACCTTTATGGTCTCAGGGTGCATCTATTTTTCTATGGGAAACTCAAAAATAGTGGCCATTTTATGGAAAATTTCTACTGAAATCTATATGCTCCAACATTTCCATTCCCATTGTAGACTCCTTCAAATGACAAACCACACCTCACGCATGTACTTGTACAGGAATGTCCATGAAAATAGTATTTACAGTAGCCCAAAATGGGAATAATCCCTAAATCCATAGGTAAATTGTTAAAAACAATTGCACATACTCATCCAGTGGGGTATTATTCACTAAGAAAAATAAAGTAATGACACACATTACAACATGTCGAATGTGGAAAATTCTATACAGGTGAAAGTAGGCAGCCAAAAAATGTCATATACACTGTAGTGACCTAGACGTTAGGTAATTAGCACATGAGTCCATAGAAAAAAAGCAGAAAAGTGACTCTCAAAGGCTGGCTTGAGTGTGCGGAAGCAGAGCTGACTGCTCATGATGCCCTGAATGCACTGGCTGCTGCTCTGAGAGCTACAAGCAGGTGAGAGTGGCACAGCCCTGACGTGTACTAGGAGTCACTGAATTGTGTGCTGTAGAGGGCCTGCTCAGCCCACCGTGCCTTTTACCACAATTAAAGCAACTAATCGATCATGTATAAGCGATCATGAAATGAAATGTGACAACGCCCACTCAGATAGTCAAGAACTGGCATTGTTAAGTTCCATAATTTGTAGACATGTGATGCTGAAATATCTCCCTACTTAAGTTTAAACTATCATTTATTTTCCTGAACAAGTAGCTAAAGAAAAACCTTGAAGTTGAAAAAGCAAAAAGGAAAAAATTTGAAAACAGATTAAGTTAAAGAAAAATGCAAACTGTGTAGTAGAAGTGTGCTAGAGGCAATGCTGTATTTATTCTAAACCTTGAAAACAAAGATATCTTTCACAACTTTGTTACTGCTAAAATTATGGCTCTATCAGTGATATCCTTATGAGACAAGATCAAGATTAGTAAAATCACTGTTTTCTCTTCTAAGTACACTTGCAAAACAAATGAAAAACATTGCTGAAACCAGTAAAGTAATTTATAAATGCAATCAAAAATGATCAAATAATAGATGTGGGGAAAGGTGAATTAACTTTTAGAGAAGAATAGAAAGATACATAGAAAGAATATTTAAATGATTTTGGTTATTAGAATAGATAAAAATTACAAATTGATACTCGTATAAAGTAGTAATGAATAGTAGAAAGATCAGAAAGTAGATATACATACCTATAGCACGGTTGTATTTTAACATTAAATGTTATTAAAACTCACCATTCTCTATTCCGAGTTGATCTGATAAAATAAAAACATACAAAAATTACAGTCAAACATAAACCAAGTGATTCTAATGTGATAGATATTTCTTGAATGCTCCTGTGTACCAGGTTTTATGAAAATGCTTACAGGGCATACGTTTACTGTCTACCATGTGAGAAACTAAATTAGTCACCACATGTGGAAGAATATCACGAGATTAGAGGAAGGACACACGTCGTATTTATTTTCATAATTTCTTGTTCCCGAGTTAAAAATTTATGCAAAGGGAGCCTGACGTCAATTTGCCATGTTATTTATTTATTTTGGCTGGACCCTGAAGGAACAGTGATGACTTCGAAATGCCTGTGAGTTCAGAGTGTGAACCAGACACATCCACTAATATTTCTGTTTCTTCTGTTTGTGGTAGATGAATCTTGTCAGCAGCTACTATTGTCAAGTGATGATTTTATATAAAAAGATTATGTCTCTATAGCACCTGTGTCACTCCCAGCTTTGTTGAAAAATAGCCTTTCATCTTCCATTACGAACATGACTTTCAAAAGCTGAGTTGTGGATGCTTTAATATTTAGACGTATGTTCCCCTCAAGAGAATTTGACACCCTCAATCTCTGGTTGTGGCTTAATAAACATTAATGTTCACAAGCTATAATGACAGGCATTATTTTGAGGCACATCTAAGTAGCAGGCAGTGAATGATTTTCAGAGCGAGTGAATCATTACAAAGAAGTATTAGTGAGCTGTGATTTGTGTGCTATGCAGCTTCCTGAGTAGTAAGGTTATGCACCAGGGAAGTCCTCTGAGAAAACTCATGTCACTGGCTGTGATTGGCCACATGACTAAACTCCACGGGACATACTAACACCCCATCGCCCTTTACACAGATGAGTGTAGAAACCGCCATGGCTTTTTATGGGAGAATTTAATTCCTCTTTTGTGGTCCTCAAAATTTCTCTGGTATGTAGTGAGACCTCATTCATTTACTGTCTTCTCTAATTTTTCAGCTCCTTTTCTGCTTATGTCCACACACTCTCATTCTCTTTGTTTGTTGTCATCTTCAAAATGAAATTCTCCTATTATCAGATAAATTTAAAAAGAGTAAATTTAAAATTCTCTTTGCTAGTTATGTTCATTAATGTACTGCAATGAGTTCTAAATATTTCATTTTGTCATCATTTATTTAAATATATACTAGTGGAGAGAATGCAAGTTGTGTATAATCTTTAATTTTACAGAGAAATCTGTTTACTACCTCACAATACTCTTTGTAAAGGAACACTCTTTAATTACCATTTTGCGATGTACAAGTAGTTAATGTCCTCTGAAAATGACAACTTTTCTGAGAAAAATGTCTGGCTAGAAATAAATCTCCAATTTCTCCGAATGCTGCGATTGGAAGCCCCATTTGACCCAGCTATTCCACTTGTAGGCATATTCCCAGAAGAACTGAAAGCATCATACCACAGTGATATATGTGCACCCATGTTTATATCAGCACAATTTGTAATAGCCAGATCTTGGAAACAACCTAAGTGTCCATCAACTGAGGAATGGATAAAAAAGTTGTGGTACTTTTATACAATGGAGTACTACTCAGCTATAAAGAATGATCACATCGAGATATTTATAAATAAATGAACACAGCTTAAGACCATACTTATAAGTGAAATAAATCAAACTCACATGTATAAATACCGAATAGTTTCCCTAGTGTAAGAAACGACAAGAATACATAAAAGTATGTGGTAATCATGATTCCCAGTCACACTGGTTTGAAGCCATATAGTGTTTTCACTCATTAATTGGAATAGTTTTAATCTGGGTTTTTTTATTTTATTGTCTATGATACTTCAAATAACTATTTTGAAGAAAATAAGACAGCATAATAGCTAGTGCTGATTTAATATCATTCTGTTTTGAATCCCCATCAAGTTGTTGTTCATCTGTTTCTATTGCTTATAACATGTTGTATCTTATTATATTTTAATGTATGCAATAGCATAAGCAAATTTTTATAGGCAGAGAGATAATATAGAATCTGGTGTTCAGTTCCTGTTAGCTGGTTCTAAATGCCCTGCAATAATTTCATTCTCTTGAATGGTTTCACACTGTCTTGATAAGTTTGATGCTATAGTATACGAAGTTAGACTCAAATATTTCAAGGAAAGAGTCACTATGGTAACTACTATTAATGTCAGGCTATCTGGTGGTGAAACACAATGATGCTTAAATTTTTTGGTTCTGACCAGTGTTGTTCTATTGATATGTTCTTTTTTATCTCAATCTCCCCCTTTTTTTAAATTGATTTATTTCTTAGTATCTTTTAACTAAGGGAAAACTAAATTAAAAATAGTGCGATATATTATAGTAACTTTTTTGTTTCCCTATTAACCTGATTTGAACCCCTGTATTGTTCTCCACATCCTGTTTTGAATGATTTTATTGTATTCTGTTTTGCTTAGTATTATCAAGTTTGAGGGTATAGGCAACCATTTGGAAGGCAACCAGATATTCTATGATGCCCGTTATCATTTAACTATTATCTTCTTTGGAAGTCCTGTAAGCTCTCCAATGTGGGGTTTATTGGTCTTCTGCACTGTTTTGTTCAATTCTTTTATACCAGCTGATATAGGCAACTCCTTTTAAGATAACAAGAGGCATAATGGTAACCACTGTTGATCACCTAGTAATCTGTTTTTTGGTTTTTTTTTTTTTTTGCGTTATATACTATGTCCATCCTCCTGTTCTAACTGACTCTGTTTTGCTTTGTCACATTGGGTTTTTCTTTGGTCTGTCTTATTTTGGTTTTTTTTTTTTTTGGTTTTGGGGTTTTTTTAATCTTTTTTTTCTTTTCCTCTTCAAAGAAAAAGTTATAAGAACTGTGGGAGTAATGGAAACCAAAATATGTGAGTGTTAGCATAAAAAAGAGAGGGAAGAGTGTGATCTAAAGGATATAATTGCAAGTATATTTAAAAGTGTAGGATAGAGAACTGTATTGCTGAGTTTTTGTTGGATCATTGAACAGAACTGTCTGCAATCTCACTGTATTAATATCCACATTGTATGCTTTAATTTTGTATTCTGGACAACTGTTTCTCAGATGACAATGTGTGATCTGTAAACTGGTGAATTCTTACTGTATATTTTTTCTCTTGAAATTCTGTATTACTTCTAGCCTTTTACTGTTTTGCTTTGTTTAGTTTTGTTTTTCTCTTTAAATAAATAAAAAAGAAATAAATCTCCACTGTATTAATGAGCCTCTGATTCATATTTTTGTATTTTCATACTGAAGAAAAAGTAGAACAAATGTCTTACTGAAAAAGTTTTGCAGTATAAGTATATGCAAATTATATAATGTGATATTTCTTGATGCCTTTGATTTTGGAGTGGATGTACAGAAAAGAAAATGAGGCAAAAGTAATAAAAGAAAAATTGAAAAATTGAATGTAATAAAAATTTGCAGAGGGTATAAAGGACAATGTACAGTTTCAGCTCAATGACAATAAAATAACAATTCCTTTTAAAAACACAAAGAGGGACAGAAGATGGATGTTTTGCCAGGAAGAGGGAAAAATGGAGACAGGCCCATGGAAAGGTGCCTAGTGTCTCTTGTGACCTTGAAGATGCAAATGCAAGCATTTATACAGCATCTCACAGCACTCACGAAGCTCTGATGGAGAAATACCACATGTAAAAATCTTATAAGAACTGTAAACAAGTTCATATTTTGTACTTCCTTAGTGTGAATGTTAAACAGTGCAATTTTTCTGTCTCTTTTTTTCTGATTGTCTATCTTTCATTTTGAACTGTTTATACCTAGTAGTATTCTTCTATGAGAGAAATCATGTGATATTTAAACTTCTGAGTCAGCTTTACTTCACTTGACAGTTTAGTCTCAAAGTGCATTTGTTTTTCTTCAAATGACTCAAAAATAGAGCCATCTCAACAGGATACATTTCAGCGCATACTCAAAAGAAAGCATAGTGACCCAGCAATTCCATTCCCAGTCATACACTCCTTCAAATGTGAAAGCAGGTGCTCCAACATGCACTTGTGTGGGAGGGTCCACTGCAGCAGTATCCCCAGCAATCTCAAGCTGGCAAAACCTCAGTGTCGATCATGAGGTGAATGGTTCAAGAGTCTCAGATATTCAACCTGAGTGGTACTCAAGCTCAGACACCCCAGTTAATAGTGCTCTGCCTTTAAATGATAGGAAGCTTCAGTGTATGTTACAAACTAGTGAATCTTGGCAGTTATTTACACATGAAAGTAGGAGGACTCAAATGTTCATGTACTGTAACTTCGTTAGGAGGAAACCAGAGCAGATAAATTCATGGATACAGAGTCCGAGCAGTGACCATCTAAGGTTGACTGCTGTGGGAACCAGAAGTGCCTTGTCAGGTGGCCTACAGTTTAGAGACTCATGATGACTCTCTGAGAAGTAGGGAAAGATGAAGTTTGCGCTGCACTGTGAATGTGCTACTGTTACTGAGTTGTACAGTTGAGAATGTGTCTGCTAGTTTTGGATAAATTTTACCTCGATAAAGGTATGTAATGAATAGAAGCTATTTTCAAGTGAAATAAATGGCTCATACATGAAAGCAAGGACTGACCTTGTTTAAACTTCTTAATTTATGTTTGTCAACATAAAACACCAATGTAACTTTTGTTTAAGATACATTACTTTTTTTGAGCAATCAATTTGAAACAAACGGCAGTTTAAAAGCAGACAAGAAATATTTTGAATTTATACAAAATTGAAGCAAATTGCAAGCTGTGTAGTTTCACTAGAGGTAATGTCTTATTTATTCACTAAACAAAGAAGAGTAAGATACACTTTGTGTCTTTGTCATTGCCTTAAATTAGGTTCTACTTAGTATTATCTTCTTTCAAAGTGGATCAAGAGTTGAAACTCATCATTTTCCATTTCTCTGCAAAACAAGTGAGGAATATTGATGAAATAAGTGAAGTAATTATAAAAGCAACCAGATTGGATCAAATATCGGGTGCCTTACAAG